CATCGAGTAACTGCAGACAGACAGAGTAGCCACACGCAGGCAAGTTAAAGTGCGCGACACCAAGACTGCACGTAAGCCAGAACCCTAGCCCGAACCCCAGCCCGCACCCTCACCCTAACCCTAACCCTAACCCTAACCCTAACCCTAACCCTAACCCTAACCCTAACCCTAACCCTAACCCTAACCCTAACCCTAACCCTAACCCTAACCCTAACCCTACGCTACAATATTGACAATAATATCGAGGAATCTAATAGAAAAAGGTGATTATATAGGACATACTGGCGATTTTATAGCACAGGTCGATAACGACTATATGAGGCATTCCTATACCGATGTCCGAATTGATTTCGAAATGTTCTGGAATAAATTAAGACAATATTAATACCGAGATAGGTGCTTCTCATGAGGCCGTTTGTTCGGGGGAAATTTTACCCAGCAACAGGTCCCAGCAACAGGTGTCCAATTCACCCATATCCGTCTCCCATTACCATTTGGTGCTCGGCATAAGACGCCCATGGGACATGTATATGTATGCGCACCTTCACCGCCGACCCAAGAAATAATACAAGCCACCCTCCAAGACGAGATGAGGTCGAGAACTATTACTCTGTCCGGTAATTTCAGCCAGAACAACCTAGCACGGGTTAAAAACATATTCAGCTTCGCTAGAATGAGCTTCGAACCTCGACTGACCGACCCGACCGGATCGTCAAATTCAATCACTACCACGACGACGGTTCAGGTCACCGAGCAACGTGCTCATAATTGGGCGTCGGAACATGAGGGCCATCTGTCAGAGCAGAACAAGGCTACGATCGTCCTGACAGGGATAAAATCGGAGGAGTGGTATTCCAGCAGATGGGACCGTAGAAGGAGGCGAAAACAAAGACGAACTTGGATGACGAAGTCGGGAGGGGCACGGTTTTGTCACCTGGTTCATCGAAGACTTCCATGACCTTTGCCCTACATCCTGGCGACAAGGTTTCGATTATGACTCTGTTGATCCTTTTTTGTACCTCGCAATGACTTCCATTGGCGCCATGTACAGTGGTTCTTCGCATGCAGCTGAATATGGTATGGCTGTTCACTGAGAATTGCGCAGAATAGCAGTTCTCGTTCCATTCACTTCCATGATTGCTTCATCGGATTCGGGACTGAATTGAGGCGTGGGAAATCCAGAGGGATCTCCACCCACATTCTGAACAGCTGAGAGGTCTTCAATTCACGACGTTCTTTGGGTCTGGATAAAGATTTGGGATCATACCTTTATTGGAGAAATCAGGAACAAAATGGTGTTCATATGCCGTGATCTGGGAAGTGTCGAGATTGATTGACGCCTATTCCGACACCTGGCCTGTTTGTCCAGTGGAAAATGTTTTGGGACAAAACCACTTCGTATTGATTCGGGTCTAAGGCTCCATGGTCACGATACGGAAAACGGGTGGAATATGATGGTGGTTCAAGTTCATAGAGTAATAAATCCCCCATCAGGCAGCCTATGTGCGGGAATGCAATTAAAGAAAGCATGGGAAACAAGGAATTAAAGCATGATATCAGGCAGTTGGGCATTGATGAATGTGCTGGGTGAACAGTGGACAAAATTTCCTCTACTTCATTATTTCTCTAAAATGATTCATGCAACGGAAAGACCAGAAAAAACCCAGAGCGCGCTTGGGAAATTGAATTCTTGATTCTTTACTGATTCAAATTCGAAAAATTATCTCATCACCGACAAAATCCCCCTCGGCACCGAATTCAATGGTGTACAGACTTCCGAGTTCCATACAGTTGCTGAAGCACCTGACCCTGGCTCCACTCCTTTTCAATTTCAATCAATATGCTGCTAATCATGGCTCTGGGATGGGGAGAGTTGCAAAGTAGCTCATGGCTTTCTGGTTTGCTTCCGGGCTCATTGGCTTCCCTTCCTCTGACATCTCACTCAAGAGCTTGAAGTAGTTGATGTAGAACGCAGGTGTATATGTATTGAAGAATCTGGCTTCCACGTCACCGGGATTGGAGAAGGTATGGGGGCTGCGGGTTGGGACCACGACATAATCGCCGGCATGGGCGTCGACGTTCGGCTTGCCGGGTATATGGAAGCGGATGGTGCCTTGAGTAATCAGGAATGTTTCATCGTGCATCTCGTGCCAATGCGGTGGTGGCCCATGAGCGCCAGGAGGAATGATCAGCTCAGCTGAACTGATCCGCATGTCTGATGTTTCTGTTAGAGTTGATATATCATCTTCTGATGTGCACAATTACCCGTGTTTGATCCATCCTCCATAACACGCAGCTTCAAGTTGCCCAGCACTAAGATCTCCCCACTCTTCGCTGGAACAAAACTGACAGGGCGGTCTGGTACTTCCATAATTGTGTAGTTCTGGAAAATTCTGCGAGATTTGCTCAAGTTGCTGGCCGGGGCCCTGAGGTCAATTTATTTTTGCTTGAGGTGTCCGGACTCCACTAGAATTCAAAGCGAGCATTCCACCATATCGTAAATACCACCCACAAATTTGTTAGTGGGCGCATTGGTGGTCAGCAAATGGAGGGGGCCGGAGGAAATGAATGACGAGCCGAGCCCTCTGCTGATCATTCGGGTAAAGTGGTGATCGGGCTTTGGCCCTCGCTTCCGAATAATTACCTTGAAGCCGATATGTCGCGCAATGAGTCCGGAGCCTTGAAGTATCTCCGAGAACTAGACTTTGCGTTTCTACAGAGAACAAACTCATAGCAAGATGCAGACCTTTGTTTTCAAAACCCCACAGTGGAGTTATTGATATTTAATTGAAGATACCTTCCCTCTCTACACAGGCTCAATACGTTTACATATTTCCCCAAGTCCCGATCATATCATCATTTGAATTCAGTGTTGTGACTCTTACACGATATTTCTAAAATCCTACGGATATGACACATTCAAGTCACAAAAAGAAAGTTCTCATCATCGGGGCGGGGCCAGGTGGACTGGTACTCGCTCACTGTTTGCGAAAATATGACATACCCTTTGAGATATTTGACCGCGAGAAAGCCAGCCAACCACGAAAGCAAGGTTGGGCAGTTGCACTAATTGAGTAAGTGACATTTCTCTGCCCGCGACCATTACCATCTCAACTTTAGCAAAAAGACTGGTACTGGTTCTCATTCGGAATAACTAACACATCGGCCGAAAGATGCCTCTCAGACCTAGAGGAGCTCCTGCCGGAGGACATCTTCCGAAAAATTCCTACTGCTAGTGTTAATCACCAAACTGGTAGCCTCGACTCTTTTGCAATCATCAATTGCATGACGGGCCAGCAGACAGCTATGCTTGGTGGGACAGAGTACGCACAGCCTGGATGTTTGCTTCGTGTGAATCGTCAAGCTCTCCGCGAAGTGTTGCGCCAGGACATTGATCTACAGAACGACAAGGAATTTGATCACTACGAGGAATCGGATTATGGTGTTACTGCATATTTCAAGGATGGAACAACTTTCACAGGAGATATTATCGTTGGAGCAGATGGTGCCCATAGTGCTGGTAGGCATTTCGTCCTTGCACCCATCACCGCACTGTTCACCTTTGATGGGATACTGATCCGGATATACATCACTAGTTCGCAAACAGTTATTTGACTCCCCGAAACCGATGCAGAGCAAGTACATTCCACTTGTAGGAGAGGTCCAGCTGTCCAAAGAGCAGTACGAGCCTCTTCACAAAATAGGCACTGCGGGACTGTTTTCTTACGGACCTGGGTTACGATACCTGATCGGCCTCCTCGGGACCACAGAAGATCTCTCGGAAGCCAGTTACTATTGGGCTTGTTGTTATCAAAGCGATGATCCGGAGCGAGACAGTGCATGGGTACAAAATGCGAGCGGCGAAGAGCTGTATGACCGCAGTCTTGAGATCACTAAATCCTTTGCCCCAATTCTGACCGATATCATCCGCACCACCAAGCCGGAGAACATGGCACAACCTCCACTTCGCTTCATCGAGTATTATCTTCCTGAAGTTCCATCAACCTCGTCCCGGGTGACTTTACTCGGTGATGCTGCTCATGTGATGATACCATTCCATCTCGCCGGCGCTAATACCGCCATCAAAGACGCCTGCGACTTGGCACGTCAACTTTCGCACCCTAAGCAGGACTTCCCTGAAGCAATTCAATGCTATGAGAAAGTGATGATTCCCCGCGGGCGCGAGAAGGTGTTACGTAGTCGCCTGGCTGGAGAGCTCCCAACGTTGAACGAGATATTGGTCCGAAATACCGATAATCTACCCCTTAGTTTTTAAAGGTCTATGGGGTACATGAGGGGGAAGTAAAGATGGCTATAGGAGAAAGAATTGCTGCTTCTGAATCCAATAGAGGGACTCCACCGTCTATCAACACGAAATAGACTCGAGCGTGAGAGAGGTAGAATGGAAAGGATTATGGTTTGTCTAAGCCGTACATAGAGCCCGTCTTCTCCAGAGGCCAAGTTACCAGAATCATCGGCAGAAATACCACGCAATTCACGGAATTTTATGCCAAAGCTCTCCAAAGTTATTCCAATAGTTGACTACAGAGGTGAGGGAAAAAACGGAAACATGCTCAGAAAGCTTCGGCACCAGCGCAACCTCGTTCTCCGGGCTTTTAAGAGTCCGACATCCGAGTTGCAGACTTCCATGAGCTCCAGTATATCCCTGCTTTAACCCACAGCCTCACTATCGCGGACTGGCGCTGCAAAGGCCCGGGTGGGGAATATAGGGGAACCAAGAATTTGAGGAATATAGCAATCAAAGCACCGGAGCCTTGATTTGTCCGGCTATCTCGGAGCATTGACCCAGAAAAAAAAAGGGTCTTGGTCATGCTTTAAACCTTTGCGATGACCGTGCTTCTCGGAAGCAGTATTTCCACATCTTTCAGTTCTTCATAATCGTGACTATAGTCTAACAACCTCACCACGGCAAATCGAGTCATACCATTTTTTCTTTACTCGATTTTCTGTCTGTTCACGAATACCTATTTGATATATTTGTGATCGAGTATCTCTGCTAATATGCCGGTCAATCCTCCATCGCCTGGTGCTAGTCACCCCAACCTTGGCGAGCCACAATTCCAATCTCATTCCTGGGTCGAGCCCATTGTACGTCTAAATTCTCAATAATGGGAAGCACATATTACACTTACGCAGTTTATAGTCTAACAGAGCTGTTCAGGTTGTAGTCAGCATCATGATTAGCTCCCTTATCATAAACCGGCGCCGCAACTTCTGCATCTGGGAGAAAAAAAGGACATGGGGATTAGAGAATCAAGTCCACGGAAGTCCTCCATATTGCCTACTCACGGCGACTGATCGCCCGTCGCAATATCAGCCCCGTCGACCGGAAGGTCACATTGTCTGTGGTAGATTCATCAAAAATCCAGACTCATCCCGCTGGACACATCACATCCACAGCCGGGTCATGCAGAAATTCCCTTTTCTGGTCGAAATGTTCTACTGGGCGATCAACTACCTGTTTTATTCAATCACCAAGAGTACCTCGCAATGGCTATCGCCTGCAAGTATTGGTGTTGTACAGGTCGCCCAGGATCACGGCATCAGTATAATGAACTTCGAACATCGATCAATTTTTCGCTTCATCTTTGCAATCGAGGAAGCCAAATTCCAAGCCTTCTTCGTAAACAACCACCCTGCTATGATGACATTCTTTAATTAAGCCTACTCCCTCATACATATCCTAGAGTCTGTTCTGTGAGTATAGCACCATTGATTCTCATAACTGTGCGAGAGTCTCTGTATTAATGCACTCCTATTTTATACACCCAGATTTCTTTCTTGGTACTATTATGCTGCACCGGACCACAATACTTTCAGTATTGTTCGACGCACTTAACATTTTGCATCTACCCCTGCATGCCCCCACGCCTGCTACCCAAATCCTATAGCTTTTACGACACCGTTCGTCAAGAGCACGCCGAAAGCATTTGGGCTAGCGGCAAGTCTGTGAATCAGTTTGCTGCCATGCCCAGTCTGCATTTTACCTATGCCTTTGTTATCGGCTGCACCTTCGTTTATCACTCGGGTGTCCTGCAGAGATCGCGCGATCGAAAAAGCAATAGCTTATCATTGAAGCAGATATTGTTCGTCATACTCGCCATTATTTATCCTTGCATCGTCTTATCGGTTATTGTTGCCACAGCAAACCATTATTGGCTAGATGCTGTGTGTGCTATGTTGACAGTTACTGTGTGTTTTTGGGGTAACAGAGTTCTTCTCATGCTGCTCCCAGTTGAGTTTGGTATTTGCTGGGCATTGAAAATTAGCAAGCTAACTCCGACCACGGGGGACCTATCCAACAAGCATTATCGGAGGAGAGGATGGGGGCAGGCGTTCCAAAATTGGGTATAATCATATCTACCATGCGAAGGTCAAAATACATGTTACCGGGGGTATAAAACGGCGTATTGATAGCTGGCCTGGTAGAATGATTGCGTCGCCAGTCAAGATAAAACCCCCGATCAGCTAACTTAGTTGTATTTGTGGGATAGAATTTGAGTTTCTACATGTATTTTCAAACTGTGATTGTCAGTTTGGTTGATTTAAACCATCGTGAAAACATCTACTTAAAGCCTTATACTACTAGGCAGGTCATCCATTGGCCAGATTCAAGGTGGACCAAGTTATCCAAGGCCAAAGGTCTTCAAAATGTGTTACCATCAGCCTCGGAGGTCGGCATTTATCGGAGATTATATGCCCGAAGCCCGATTCGTTGAGACTAGGCCTTTCCAAGGCTAGCTCAACCGTAGTCTTTGGATTTGCCATCATCCCGAAAGTGTAAACAGACCCACTTGATAACTAGCCGCTTGTGAATTACGTCATTTGGTACGGGTAATGTGGTTTAGCCTGTCTGTGAGTGTCTGTGAGCGTCCCTGACAGTTAACGGTGGAGTCGACATGTGGCGACCCATACACGATCTACAAAACATTTTACATAGTCTGATCTGCGTAAAAGGAATTTTTCAGCCCCAGTTTGACTGGAGGGAATGGTCGCCGAATTTCCGAAACAAACTTATTTTTTCCAGTCCTGAGTAACGTGTTGCATAACCTAGCCAGATGGTCTTATGCAAAAGATTCTATGGCCCTAATTACTTATTCGGCACCGAGCATATCGGGGCAAAGCTTTTGTAGAGGGTTTGTAATTCGTGAATTCGTGAATAAATGATTAAATATTTCGTCACTATTCATGACTAGGTACACTTGACACTCATTTTCATTCCTTCCGCATCACCATTAGGCTTTTTTCTCATGCAGCACCTGCTACAACACTGTTGATTGAGAAGTTGTGATCTGTGAAATCCTGATTGGAGGACTTGCGATACATTAGAACCTCCAAAGGCATGGAGAAAACCATCACAGCGTCCCAGACGTTGTGCATGCCTCATCAATGCCAGTTGGAGGTGTTCAAAGATGTCCTTGTCCAAAACGGATATGTCTTGTACAATGGTCGGGGGAACACAGATGATATCACGTTGTTGTTAGTATTTCTCGGTCATCCAATGACGAACATCTGCCAGAAAAGAGACCTTGTTTATGTTTGCTGATCAAACTCCTTCTGCTTCCGCAGGCGCTTCTTGCGCGCGCAGAAAATGGATCTAGATCGTGCCTTCGAGCAATTTGACACCGCCCAAACCTGGCGCAAACAATACAACATCCAAAGCTTCTACGACAATGTTGATGTCGATTATTATGAGGAATCAAGAAAGATGGTTTGCCCCCCTTTCTCGCTCAGACTGACTGAAGCTTTTCCAAGCGACATTGAATCGCTAACAATAAATTGGATCTAGTATCCTCAGTGGATCGGTCGACGGGACAAAAATGGTTACCCCATCTACATATTTCCAATGCGACACCTAACCATAAAGCGATTGGATGTGTACTTGAAGAAAATATCGTCCTGCCCGACATCACGCGAACACAGGGTCGACAAGCCCGACATTGCCCCTCGGGATCTTCATTTCCACGCCCTATACGAGAACCTCCAACATTTTGTCTTTCCTTTTGTCTCACAACTAGCAAGACCGGATATGAGCACTCCTATCAGCGCATCCACACATATTGTTGATGTGAGCGGAGTGAGCATACGTCAATTCTGGAGTATCCGGAAATACCTCCAAGAGGCGAGTGCGACGGCCACAGCGCACTATCCGGAGACACTCGGTCGGGTTTTTGTACGTCTTCCAAACTAAGAAATGGATTACAAGTAAAATCCTTTCTCCGACATGATTTGTGGCTGACCATCCGCGCTCGCCGAGTTAGATTGTCGGTGCACCCGCATTCTTCAAATCCATATGGGACATGATCAGTCAATGGTTCGATCCAGTCACTCGATCGAAAATCTTTCTTCTCTCTTCCTCCGATGCTGAGTCAACCCTACGCACGTTCATTGATCCACCTAATTTGCTGAAAGACTACGGCGGCGAGCTGGAGTGGCAATGGCAGGACTTGCCGAACTTGGATGGCCCCGCGAGAGAAGTTATGGACAAATTGCATCAAGATACTGCTGGGGGACAGGTATTTCCAAAAGGGCCTATTCTCTTCGAGAAGGGCTGCATCAGGCTTCTGGGAACTATTGATGGGAAGCCGAGACGCGATGGCTTCTGTTTAAAATAGAACTGAAATAACGTGGATTTTCCGACCATCAAGCTGTACACTATATATGTATTCCTTTAGCTTATCAGATAGATAACCCACATCGATTAGATGACATTTCATCAGCGTTGAAACAATTGTTAATAGGAAGTTCACTTCTTAGGATAGCCATAATGTAAAATCAGAGCAGGGTCAAATTGCAAACAAGCTGCCTCACGCCCTTCTTAGCCTTTCAAGCGCCTTGTAATTGAGTATCGCTACCGCAAACCTGTTGACCCGATACGCACATTTGATGGTAGTTATTAGAAGTAGCAAGCCTCGGCATATCAACCAAGCCGAATTCAGACTGAAATTGGGGAGCATTGGGGACGGCAAAAAAAGCATTAGAACCTGACGAGTGATTCAGATATCATTGGGCAAGGCCACCTCGGGCCACTCTCCGTGGAAATACCTCAAAAATTCCGAAAACCACCGACCATGGAAATACTTCTCGGCATCGCGGGTGTAAACCCAGACGTATAGTCGCAGGGTTCATGACTAAACCAGCTGGCTGGTTTCAATCCGGCGTGGAAACACGATCATAATCCTTGATTTCCCCCAAAACCCGAATAGTGGGAATGAGAGAGCACTCAGGCATATTGAGAGGGTGAAAGCCTTTCAAAGTGAAGCCTTTCATATCTTCCACACTGCATTCGGAAAATACTCATTTCACTAACAATAATCACCACCTACGCTCCCTCCTAATTATATTCAATGAACTACTCGGACCACTCAGGCGCTGAGGACATATCCAATACTTTCTGCCAGACTCTTCCAGTTTCTGTTGTGAATCGGCATATCTGGCAACTATCAAGAACGGCGCTCCATGACAATTGTGATATAGTGATAATCACTTCGGATAGTATCCCAAAACCACCATCTCCACTTACGTGAATCCATGCACTGGAAGGGCATTAGATAAACCATCATGGCGACTACAACGAGCCCTCGTTCCGACGAGAAAGTGGATGATCTAGCGCCTGACGACTTCATCTACACGCACGTTGACGATCACCACGACAACCCAATGGAGAAAACGCGGCGTGTCAGCCGCGCATGCGACGAGTGTCGCCGAAAAAAGATCAAGTGTGACGGTAAGCGGCCATGCACCCATTGCACAGTCTATAGTTAGGATACGCAGAGCCCTGTTCTGTCGTCAAACTTAAAAGACATATCAGTCCGACCGTGGTCTAACAGATATTTTGTAGAGTGTTCGTACGACCAACCTTCCAACCGCTGTTGAAACCCTACCCAGCAAAATGTCAAGGCTCTCGAAAACCGTCTCTTGAAGGCTGAAGCCCTTCTTCGAACCGTTCTTCCGAATATCCACCTCGATGACCCGCAATTAGATGTCCATGCGACGGCACAAAGATTCGACGCCGCTCAAAGGGAAAAGAAAGCAACCGAAGATCCCGAATCGTCAGTTGGACCAACTGACCCGGCGCCAGAGGGGGAGGTGAGGGGCTGCTCGAGACCATGGTCGACAATTCAGGCTGCTTAGATCTAGATGACCAAGGCCATTGGGACTACCATGGACACACATCGGGTGTCATCTTTGTCTGACGGTTGCGCAAACAGCTTGGCGCCTCGAATCCCATGGGCCCAATGGCACGATCCCGTCCTTCAGTCTCTGCGCATATGTTGGACAGCCCGAAGTCCATGTCTAAATCGCCTCAGGACACCACCTCGCCTCCTACCCACTACCTGCTTCCCCGAGTGGTTGTTCGCCGTTTGTGTCACAATGCCATCAACCATGCCTGCTGCTTGATGCGCTTTGTGCATGAACCATCGTTTTTCGCAAGTCTGGATCGCATCTACGATACTGACCCGGAAGAATTCACGAACAAGGAAAACTCCTTCCTACCGCTTTTGTATATCGTCATCGCCGTTGGTGTCTGTTCTCAGATGAAATAGCAGGACAAGATACCTTGGATTTAGCTAACTACAAAGGCGCAATTGGCCAAGCGTAGGTTCATATAGCAATAATTTATTGGTTGGCAACAACTCACTTTTACAGGTTTCAATTCTTCAAGGCTGGACGGCAACTGCTCTGTCGTGACCTGGTTTCTCTCCAAGCAATATGTTTTATGCTGCTCTTTCTCCAATCTTCTGCCACGTTGAGCACCTGTTATTCATATGTGGGAATCGCCCTTCGCTCAGCGCTGCGATTAGGTCTTCATCGCTCTGTTGCAGCAGACTTCAACCCCATTGAACGAGAACTTCGAAAGCGTATCTTCTGGGTCATCCGTAAGATAAATATCTACGTGAGCACGGTGTTGGGCCTTCTTCAGATGCTGAGTGACGACGAAATTGATCAAGAGTACCCAATAAAAGTCGATGGAGATTTCATTACTTCGGAAGGAATTACTCAACCGCCATCCAACTATACACCGCCGATGGCAGGATGCAATGCGCACACTCGTCTTTCCAACAGTATTTTGAAGGTTGTGAAATTCATCTACCCTGTTAAGAATGCTCGCTGCCACTCAAAGTCAGACCAGCGATATATGGTCAGTCATTCCAAAATCCGCGAGATTGAGCGGGATTTGCAAACCTGGATGGAGGAATTGCCTCCAGCCTTGCTACCGGGCACAGAAGTGTCGCCCCAATTAGAACGGTAGGTTCTGAGTTCACGATGCTGGTAGAATGCTTCAATTCGACTGACGTCAATTTAGCATCCGACAATTGCTGCGTATCAGCTATGCCCATGTGCAGATGGTCATGTACCGTCCGTTCCTCCACCACGTTTCTGGTGGCTCTCAAGCGTGTGGTACAGACAAGTGGTCTTATGCCTGCGTGGCCGCCTGCGTTAGTGCCTCTCGAAACATCATCCACATCACGACCGCAATGCAAAAACAAGGTCTACTCAATGGATCATTCAGGTTCAACATGTACACCACATATTTTGCTGTCCTCTGTCCGCTCTTCTTCGTTAATGAGAGTCCGGATTCACCAACGACCAACGACAGCATCCTTGCTATAGAGGGAAAGAATACATTGGCTGGCTTGGCCAAGAGAAGTTTGGCTGCCGACCGATATTTTCAGACCTTATGTGACGATTAAGCCATCAGTACCCAGGATGGTTGACACTGCATGCAATGCACGCTATTGGCGGCATACTAACCAAATTGGGAGAAGAAGAGGCTTAACCGGACAGTTAGTTAACTAGTTAGTTAACTAGTTAACTTAACCTAACTTAACGTAATTCACGGCCATCCTGGCCACCCTAAAACACCATACTAAATGCAATGCAATATTTCATAACTTCATATTTCAACGCTCAAGGCTATATATATAGTCTTGGGATATCTTAGTATGGAATATATTATTCTAGGTATTTTTATTAGGTCAAGAAATATTTTGGGGCGTGATAATGTAGAGATATATATCTACATCGCTTGACCGGAGCGTATTTTTGGTAATGCAAGTAAATAATCATTTTCTAAATATGTCAGCTATGCTATACACTTTCTAATGCTAAGAAATCATCCTACTAAAAATCAAGCAAAAAAATCTTCTTGTTGTTGATATATTGTGACCTGAAAAATCGCATTTAGTATGGTGTTTTGGGGTGGCCAGGGTGGCCTAGAATGCCTGAATAATATGGCGTGCACGCAGAAGAACCCCCAGGGAGCCGGGCGGGGGGGGGGCGGGGGGTTGTCGCTGCAGTCCTACCCTGATTTGAATATTAAACTTGCCCTACGATCACCGTCAATTACTTAAGCAGCGAAGTTTCATATTCTTAGCTTCTGTAGACTTCTCTAGGAAACGGTTGATCCCCTTTGATTTTAGTGGCAGACTCTCATAGCAAGCCCAAGCCTGTGATATTTGGAACATTGGCCCAGCACAGCTTACGGTTCCACTACGTTAATCCATCACGATACAAACACCAGGTATTTTTGGTTTGAAAGAAGTGTTTTTAGTAATTACAGTACTGCTATGGGCAATATGGAATGGTTCATGCCTCAAGAGATTCACACAGTAATTTGTTGGAAGTTGGCGGTCTGCTGAATTTTGGCGCAGGGCACCCTGGGGGTGCGGGCGATGCTCACTCTGCTGTAGAGTACTCTTGAGCCAACCGAGGCAGCAGTGCCAACGCATTTTTGAAGTAGATCTTATCCCTGAGATTTTGGTCCATCGGGAAATTCTCAAGATCCTCTTTAAAACGGGCTATCTTATCCGCCGGTGCATAAGGTGAATCAGATCCTGGATAGGTTAGGAAATGTGATGCGAAGAGGTAATTGTATCGCCAAGAATAGAGATCTCACCATAAAGAATATGGTCATGTGGCACAGAACCAAGCAGCGCTGCTAATATAAGGGGTGAGCTGGAGAGAGCGAGATCGTAATAGAACGACCGGAAGTCTTCCATCCACTCTTCATATGTCTTGGTGCCCTTTCTGGGATCATGTGGAACCCCGCGGAGAGATGGCGTCACTCGGGAGATCAGCCACGGAAGAGTCCCCCCGGCATGGGATAGAATCACCTTGCAGTTTGGGAAATCACGCTTGGTGCCTGAAGAAATCAAATCAACCGCGGTGCGAGTCGTTTCGTGAGGGTAATCGACTGTAGACTGCGCAAAACTGTCGTTGACCCTGTGCAGGTCAATTGGATGGGTGGGGTGGATAAATACCACTGCACGACGGGAATCAAGTTCTTGCCATATGGCTCTAAACACTTGGTGTCCAAGATAATGATTCTTCGGGCCGTAGCGGGTGAAAAGGGTGACGCCGTCGGCCTTCAGTACGTCCAAAGCGTACCTGATCTCGGCGAGCGTGCCCTCGGTGTCCAGAAGCGATGGCATTGCCGCGAAGAAGCCCCACCGTGCGGGGTTTTTATCACGAAGGGAGGCTGCATAGATATTGCACTCTCGAGCTAGTTCCCTTGCACGCTGATCGCTGCCTGCAATGACCGGGCCGGGGGCAGTGACAGAGAGAATAGCAGTTCTCGTTCCGTTCACCTCCATGGACTCTTCGTCGGATTCGGGACTCCATTGAGGCGTGGGAAATCCAGAGGGATCCCCACCCGCATTCTGAACAGCTGAGAGATACTTAAATCACGAAATTCTTTCGGTCTAGATGAAGTTTTCCAACCATACCTTTATTGTAAAATTCAGGAACAAAATGGTGATGCGTGTCTACTTTGGTCCGAGGGCTGAGCGGCGGCATTTTGAAATTGGGCGCACTGGAATTCTGGTAAATGCTGGAAACGAAATGGTCGAAGGATAAAGACTCAAAATTGCTTAGGTGCATTAATATATACACCACGGGAGTGGAGAATCTTTACAAACCACATTACCCGAAGAGTATGGCGAGATGCTGTGACCTGGGATGTGTGGAGATTGATCGGCATCCATTGAGATACTTGACCTGTTTGTCCACTGGACAATGCTTTAAGACGAAATCACTTCGTGTTCATTTGTGTCCTGAGACTCTATAGTCATGCTACGGAAGACGAGGGGAATCTGAACGTGGTCCAAGTTCATCAAATATTAAAGTCTTCAAAAGGCAGTTTATGTGCGAAAGAGCAATCAACGAAAGCATGATATCAGGTGGTTAGGTATTGATGGATCTACTGGGCGGACAGCAGAAAAATATGTTTCAAAACTTCAAAATTAAATTACTCTTGAGGGATTCGCACAAGGAAAGGGCGAACAAAATCCAAGCGCGCTTGAGAAGTTGGATTCTTTACTGATTGAAAATCGATAATTTATCCCATCACCCTGGCAAACTGCCCAACCTTGGCTCCACTCCTTTTCAATTTCAATCAATATGCTGCTAATCATGGCTCTGGGATGGGGAGAGTTGCAAAGTAGCTCATGGCTTTCTGGTTTGCTTCCGGGCTCATTGGCTTCCCTTCCTCTGACATCTCACTCAAGAGCTTGAAGTAGTTGATGTAGAACGCAGGTGTATATGTATTGAAGAATCTGGCTTCCACGTCACCGGGATTGGAGAAGGTATGGGGGCTGCGGGTTGGGACCACGACATAATCGCCGGCATGGGCGTCGACGTTCGGCTTGCCGGGTATATGAAAGCGGATGGTGCCTTGAGTAATCAGGAATGTTTCATCGTGCATCTCGTGCCAATGCGGTGGTGGCCCACGAGCGCCAGGAGGAATGATCAGCTCAGCTGAACTGATCCGCATGTCTGATGTTTCTGTTAGAGTTGATATATTGTCTTCTGATGTGCATAATTACCTGTGTTTGATCCATCCTCCATAACACGCAGCTTCAAGTTGCCCAGCACTAAGATCTCCCCACTCTTCGCTGGAACAAAACTGACAGGGCGGTCTGGTACTTCCATAATTGTGCACTTCTGGCAACGTTCTCGGGGTTTATTCAATTTACTCGCCGGGGCCTCGCGCTCAGTTTATATTCGGGGTAGGTGTTCAGGAACCGGCCGGAATTCAGACTGACAACGCCACTTTATTGAAAACATCATCCATGAGTGGTGTGATCAACATATTGGTAAAGAATCGAAAGTGCTTGCACGATTAAGTGGCGGACCTTCTGCTGATCATTCGGGTAAAGTGGTAACCAGGCTTCAGGCCTGGCTTCCGAACAATTCCGTCGAGGCCGATATCACGCAGAGTTGAGTGTCGAACGACTGGATCCTCCTCTATGGAAACGGGCTTTGTATTTTACTCGAGAAGAAATAGAATAAAATGCAGACAGAACCTTGGTCCCATAGCTCTGCAGTGGAGTTATTTATAGTTCGTTGATGATGCCTATCATTCTTCTCTGTACAGTCCCAATGCTTTACACAGTTGCCCAGAGCGCAATCAGAAAGTCCTCATCTCGGGGCGGGGCCAGGTGGACTGGTACTCGCTCACTGTTTGCAAAAATATGACATACCATTTGAGATATTAGCCAGTCAACCACGAAAGCAGGATTGGGCAGTTGCGCTAATTTAGCAAGTGATATTTCTATCCCCATGGTCATTTCACTCTCAAGTCTAGCAAAACGCTCGCTCTCATTCGGGATAACTGACACATCGGCCAAAAGATACCTTCCAGATCTAGAGGAGCTCCTGACGGAGATCTCCCGAAAACTTCCCACCGCTGGTGTTAATCAACAAACCCGTAGCCTCGAATGGGACAGAGTATACGCTGCCTGGTTGTTGCTCCGTGCAAATTGCCAAGCCGTTCGCGAAGTCTTGCGCCTGGATACTGATTTACGCAACGACAAGGAGTTTAATCATTACCTGTAATCGGGCAATAGGGTCACTGCGTATTTTAATAATGCAACGGCTTTCACGGGAGGTATCATCGTTGGACCTGATGGTGCCCATAGTGCTGGTAGGCATTCCGTCCTTACAGTTATTTGACTCTCTAAAAACAATACATAACAGGTACATTCCACTTATAGGAGAGGTCAACCAGTCCAAAGAGCAGTAAGAGCCTCTTCACAAGATAGGAACCGCGGGACTGTTTTCTTACGCACCTATACCTCATCGGCCTCCTTGGGATTCCAGAAGATCTCTTGGAAGCAAGTTATGATTGGGATTGTTGTAATCCAAGCGAAGACTCAGAGTGAGAGAGTGCATAGGTACAAAATACAAGTGGCCAAGAGCTGTGGAGAGCACCAAATGTTCTGACCGACATCATCCGCACAACGAAGCCGGAGAGCATGACGCAACCTCCACTTCGCTTCATGGAGTATTATCTTCCCGAAGTACCATCGGTCTCATGCCATGTGACTTTACTTGGTGATGCTGCTCATGTGATGATAACATTCCACTCACCGGCGCTAATACCGCCATTAAAATGCCTGCAACCTCGCGCGTTATCTGTGGCACCCCGAGAAGGGCTCCCTGAAGCAATTTGATGCTATGAGAACGTGATTATTCCTCGCGGGCGCGAGAGGGTGTTATGCGGTCTCCTGGCTGGCGAGCTCCCAACCTCGAACGAAATACTGGCCCGAACAGATAAGGATTATCTATCTCGTAGTGGCCAAGAGCCCATTAGGTAGATAGAGAGAGAATAAAGAGGAATCGGAACAGAGCCGAATTGTAAACTAGAGTCCGTCCAAAATGACAGGTATTACTGGCTACAAGATACATAGCATGAGCTGCTGGCTTGAGCACGGAGTTCCCATAGCCCTATGCATCCATCAATTCAACATCAATTGCTAATAGGCCCGACTGTCCAGAACACAGGGTAGGTTTAAAGCTTTATTTGTGCGTTCTGATTCGTCTGAGCAAGACATGTCCACCTTAGTTTAGTTCGGCTATATGCGGATCCTCCTCCATCACCGTTCACCAGACTCGAGCACGCGAGAGAGAGAGAGGTAAAATAGAGACGAAAGAACGTAGCTTGTTTATGCCGCGCATAGAGCCGGCCTCTTCCAGAACCAAGGCTGCCATACTCATCAGCAGAAATACCACCGGATTCACATGATTTTGATGCTAACCATTTCCAGTGGTAGATTACAGAGGCGAACAAAAGCTGGGAATGTTTCGCGAAAGCCTTCGGGACCAGTAGAACCTCTTTTTCGGGGTTTTAGTGTCCGACGTCTGAGTTGCAGATTTCGATGAGTTCCGGTATACTCCTGCTTTACTGGCGCTGCGTGGGCCTGGGTGGGGAATATAGGAACCAAGAATTTGAGCAGTGCAGCAGTATATGTGGTTAGCATACCACGGATCGGGACCTTGGTAGTAAGTGGTCCGGCTAACTCGGAGGGTTAAAATGAGAAAAAAGGGGCCTGGTAATTCTTAACGCTTGTGCGATGGCAAGGCTTCTAGGAACGAGAATTGTCACATCTCTCAGTTCCTTGTGATCTTGACCAGTCTGTGTCTAACACACTCTCACCTACCACGGCCAATCCAGTTATTATTTTTTCTTCATTTCATTCTCTGCCTGTTCACGAATATCCGTCCAACATATCTCAGATTGAGGATCTCTGCTATTATGCCAGCTAATCCGCCATCGCCTGGTGCTAGTCAGCCCAACCTTGGCGAGCCGCAATTCCAATCTCATTCCTGGATCGAGCCCATTGTATGTCTATATTCTATAGAGCGGGAAGCAAACATTTCCGTTACGCAGATTATGGTCTGACAGAGCTGTTCAGATTGTCGTTAGCATCATGGTTGGCTCCCTCATTCTCAACCGGCGCCGCAACTTGTGCATTTTAAAGAAAAAAAGATCAAGGGGATTAGAGAATCGAGTCAACGAATGTCATCCATATTGCTTAACTGCGGATAATGAGCGCCCACCGCAATATCACCTCCATCCGCCTGAAGTTCACATCTTCTGTGGCAGAGCCATCGAAATCCCAGACTCATCCAGGTGGTCACACCATATCCACAGCCGGTTCATCCAGAAATTCCCTTTTCTGGTCGAAATTTTCTATTAGGCAACCAACTATTTATTTTATTCAATCACTAAGGCTACTTTGCAATAGCTGTCACCAGCAAGCATTGGTGTTGTACAGGTCGCCCAGGATCACGGCATCAGTATAATAGACTTCGAACATCGATCAATTTTTCGCTTCATCTTTACAATCGAAGAAGCCGAATTCCAAGCCTTCTTCGTCAAAAACTACCCTACCGTGATGACATTTTTCAACCGAGTCTACTCCCTCATACATATCCCGGGGGCTATTCTGTAAGCATAACACTATTACTTTCACAAAAGTGCAAAAATCTCTGTATTAATATCCTATTTTACCCCCAGATTTCTTTCTTAGTATTATTATGCTACACCTGACCACTGTACCTTCAGTGTTATTTAACGCACCATGACTTTGGGTAACTTCATCATATTAATAACGTTTTGTATCTACCCCTGCATGCCCCCACGCCTGCTACCCAAATCCTATCACTTTTACAACACTGTTCGTCAGGAACACGCCGAAAGCCTTTAGGTTAGTGGCAAGTCTATGAATCAGTTTGCAGCCATACCCAGTCTGCACTTCACTTCTGCCTTTGTCATCAGCTGGACCTTCCTTTATCACTCTGACGTCGTGCAGAGATTACACGGCCGAAGAAGCAAGAAATCGCCAGGAAAGCAGATATTGTTCATCATCCTCGCCATTATTTATCCTTTCATCGTCTTATTTGTTATTGTGGCTACAGCAAACCATTACTGGCTAGATTCCGTGGTAGCTATGTTGACGGTCACTGCGTGTTTTTAGAGCAACAGGGTTTCTTTACTGCTGCTCCCAGTCAAGTTTGGTATTTGCTGGGCATTGAAGCTTAGCAAACCCACTCCGACCACAGGGGACCTATTCAACAAGGACTCTCGTGGGAGAGAACGGGGACGAGCGTTTGAAAATAGGGTATAAACATATCTCTCACGCGAGGGGCAGATACATGTTACCGGCGATACAACATTGACAAGTCACTTTCCAGAGCAACTCCGTCACCGGTGAAAGATGTATTTCTACACTTGTCCTAGCCAGTCTTTGCCATGCAGCCGCGGATAGTTAGATCAAATGTCAATGTTACGTGTATGTTTGAGCAACTTCGTGCTTCTTTGAATTAAACCACTGTCAAATTTCTATTCAAACCCTCATATTACAAGAAACTGAAAGCCAAAAGATTTCAAAGTTGATATCGCGCCTCAGAGTTCCGCAATTTACAATCGGAGATTATATGCCCGAATCCCGACCCCCTGAGCACCCCAAACGCAATAGTAAATGTGATATTTCAGGTGACTATATATCAACAACGAGAAATTGATATTACTTGATTTTCGGTAGAATAGTGTTTCTTAGCGTATGAAATAGCATAGTTTGACTGAGATGCAGAGGAAATACTTATTTACTTGCTTTACCACAAATATACGCCGATGGGGGGTATGTATTTATATATCTGTATTGTGGTGCCTCAAAATACTTCCCGACCTGATAAAAATACTTGGTGTGATATATTTAGTACTAGAACTTCCTTTAGTCTTATACAAAAACTCGGGGGTTGAAATATCACATTATAAAATATCGCATTTGCTACGATGATGATGATGAATTCCTCAGGCTTTTCACCACCTTGGGCCATATGCAGCCCCCTAGCTAGTGTGCACTGCAACGTTGAATATATACACGCGGTCGGTGGATCTCGTCTGGGTTGAAGTTCATCAACCTATCCCATCTCCGCCTCTCTATTAGTTTCCTTGTCGACCTGAATTCGCCTCCGGCGTAGTTTGGCCGATATTTCATAGTGCGAACACGCGTCCCGAACACGTATAGGTCGTTCGGGGCATCTGCCTCATGCTCAAAAAATAGTAAAACGGCCGAGTCCGTAATCAATCGAGTGGTAGCCGCAGGTTTGATTGAGTTATACTCACAAACCTCCCGCTCAATTCGCCCGGGGCTTATCTCTACAGACGAAGAGGCTAGGGTCGTTTCACGAATGTGAACGACGCGCCGGACCCATCTTTCCTCATCATGTACTCGTTGGATCGGTGGCAGACGTGGCGGCCACTGGTGCTGGTGCTTTAGGACTACTGCAGACGACGTCCGACAAGGAAATAATCAAACTCCCTTGTCGCGATCAACCCGCCCCAATAACCTCGGGGTATGGTAGTCAACCTGGTGAACTCACGACACACTAGCAACTCTGAAGCCATGGAGAAAGCCACCACAGCGTCTCAGACGCTGTTCGTGCGCCATCATCCCCAGATGGCGGACTTTAAAGAGGTTCTCGTTCAAAATGGCTACGTTCTTCACAACCGAGAGAACGCAACGGATGCCACATTATTGTGAGTATTTCTTAGCCATGCTGCAGAGGTTATCTCGAGCGTAGGATTGATTTCGGATTGCTGATCACATTGGTCTTCTGTCACAGGCGCTTTTTATGCTCACAGAAAATGGATATCAATCTTGCCTTCAAGCAATTTGACATGGCCCAAACCTGGCGCAAAAACCACAAGATCCGGGCTTTTTACGACAATGTAGATTTGGTCATTATGAGGAATCGAGAAAGATGGTTTGTCTCCTTCGTGGATAAATAGACGGACAGAGCAATATTGACGGTGACCTGAATTCCGTATCCTCAATGGATCGGTCGACGCGATAAAGACGGTTGCGCCATCTACATATTTCCTATGAAACACCTGACCATAAAGAGATTGGATGCATACTTGAAAAAGATATCCTCTTGCTCAACATCACAAGCATATATGCAAGAGATGTCTGACATTGCACCTCGAGACCTTCACTTTCACGCTCTATATGAGAACCTCCAACATTTTGTCTTCCCCTTTGTCTCACAGCTACCAAGACCGGATATATCCAAACCTGTTAGCGCATCCACACACATTGTTGATGTCAGCGGGGTCAGCATACGTCAATTCTGGAGTATCCGGAAAAACCTCCAAGAGGCGAGCGCGACAGCCACAGCGCACTATCCAGAAACATTTGGTCGCGTTTTTGTACGTCTTCCGAGTCCAGAGACGGACAACAAGTTAGATCCATTCTCTGACATGATTTGTGGCTGACCATGTGCGCTCCTCTACCTAGATCGTCGGTGCACCCGCTTTCTTTAAATCCATATGGGACGTGATCAGTCAATGGTTCGACCCAGTCACTCGATCGAAGATCTTGCTTCTGTCTTCATCTGATGCCGAGTCGACTCTACGCTCGTATATTGATCCACTCAATTTGCCGAAAGATTACGGTGGCGAGCTGGAGTGCCAATGGCAAGACTTGCCTAACTTGGACTGTCTTGCGAGAGAGCTTATGGAAAAATTGTACTACGGAACCGTTAAGGGACAGGTGTTTCCCAAAGGGCCTATTATCTTCGAAAATGGCTGCATCAGGCTTTTAGGCACCCTTGATGGGAGGCCGAGACGCGACGGCTTCTGTCTAAAATAGCGCTGACAAGCCATGGATCTTCCGATCATCATCATGTTGTACACCATATATGTATTTCTAGATATTATAAGATAGGTAACCCAACATTGAGTGACGATAATTTCTTTGCGTTGAAACGACTGCGTAATTGGACCGGTCACTTAGGATAGACATAACTTGGAATCAGAGCAGAATCAAACAACAAACAAAATATGTCAGGCCCTCCTCAACCTCCCAAATCCTGTTGAAATTGAATATCACCAGTTTTAAACCAATTGGCTTAATACCTATGTTTTCACGCGTCATTCCTTGTCAAATGCAGGTCTGCGTTTATTAGGCATCCCCTGTGCCATGGCCTCCTGGGAGTTAAGGGCGGCACTGCCCTCAAGGCCATAGAGGACCTTTCCATTGCCAGGGATTACCATGTCAAAGGTTTCAGTGATGCGGGCATACTGGTAGTAGCCACAACGGGCGATTGGGTCGACTTTGCGAATGTCCACAAGACCATCAGTGAGAACATCATCAGAGATATGAATCGCAACAACGCGACCGATGATGACGTCAACAGTACCCATAGGAGGATTCCCAGGTAATCTCAAGGTACTATGGTACTGGCACTCGAACCGAATGGGCGAACCACGCACCATGGCGCAATTCACCAGTCGGGCAGGTTCCTTGGCTAAACCGGCACGCGTGAACTCATCAATTCCTGGAGAGAACTGCTCCGCCGTGATATTGACGGCCTCACGTAGCGCAAAGGTGGCTATATTCCACACAAACTCTCCTGTTGCCTCCGTATTGACGGTAGTATCTTTTCGAACGGCCAGGTCGGTTTGATTGGCTGAAAACATGACGTAGGGAGGATCAAATGTAAGGTTGTTGAATTGTGAGAATGGGGCAAGGTTGTCCATGCCGTCCGAAGATCGAGTGGAGATCCAGCCAATTGGACGCGGAACCACACAGGCCTGTAAATGATGACGTTAGTTCGAGGGCTTATAAGAACACAGGTGATGAGAACCTTGAAGGGATCCCGTGGCAGCCCATGCGATGTGATGCCAGGTTGGTAGAACATGATGAGCGATAAAAGGAAGCAAAAATCTATTAATCAATGAAAATCGAATTTCTGCTTTTGGTTGTGATAATTGAGCGCACAGGGAAAAGGGACGGAGTTTATAACCCAGCGCCACGTTTTGCATAAACCCCTTGGAAAGTTTCGGGAATAGAATTAACGGTGAGCCTTGCCTTCGGCAGTCAACAGTATGTAGCCCATCCGAGCCACCAAGAAAAGCCCTTAGCCTTGTGAATTTCATGTAACCATTTGAATGCGTCTTTTATTTCCAAATTCGTAGATATATAGGTAAAATACCCGATCAATGCCGAGCTCTCGGGATCCACCAGCATCTAAACAGATAGGGATAGGACTATCGGCCTTGAGGCTGTAGTAAGTATGGCGGGACTTGGACAACTCTAGGACGGTGGTGGTGACTGCTTGGTTGGATTCAGGTTATTTTCAGGTTATTGCGAGCCCATTGTGTAGACACTGAAGGGGCGAGGGAAGAAATTGTGTTGTGGGGTAAAATAATGAGAAGGCCAAACGACAAACAACCGCTCTCTTCCTAGGTACACCAAGACGACAGATACAACGGCATCATTCAGAAACTTTTGCCGGTGCACGACATTTATTTCCAATTCCAAGACAACTCTCCACTTTAGGATTGTGGACTCTAATCAGCGAATTGTTTTAATGTACCACAGGATTGACACTTAAGAACCCAAAACACACAAAAGGGTTGGGATCTACATTAGTTCCGCAATTACCGGAGGAGATCCCGCTCGAATTCTATCCAATCAGTCAATGGACATGAACCCAATGTCACATTATCCGGAGACCCACCGTCTCGCTTGGCTAAAAAATGGATGCCAAGAGCGTGCTTTGTTCCTTCCCAGACTTAAAAAAATGTGGGGGTAGTCGCTCACCGCGTTATAAAGAACAAAGGGCTGTTTTTCTTATCGGGGCTAACCCGTTGCAGAGAAAAAGACTCAGCGGTAGGCTGTAAAAATTCAGAGTCCGGCAATGATGTTGCTGTTTGCTGGCTATAATCTGGGGTTGGGCCAAAGGGATAGGGATTATTGAGGAGGTAGGATACGGCTGAGGGATCTCTTGTAGTCATGAACGGTAGGTGGGAATCTGAGACAAGATGAGATTCGGAAATAATTGATAAAAGAAGCAATAGAACGCCAGTCTTTTCTACCCGTACCCCATGTAGTTGGTAGACTATGTTTGGGCTCGAAATATCAACATCTAAGAAAGACAGGATATCTGAAGCGCTGTTCACAACTGTAGTTCATTTCGGTTCTCTTGATTGTCAGTACTTGGTCTTGGTTCAGCCATCGATCTCATGAAGTATCAAAGCCCGAAGTTTCAATGTAGTAGGGGTCTGGTTATCGGTGCCATCGCGGAGGTTGGCGTTTCGATGTCCGGCCTGCTATTGCCAGGCGCGACAGATCCGGACCCCGACAGCCACAAGTTGGTGCTGGAGACTAAAGGGTCTGAGCTGTATAGAGCGTCCAGCTGAGTGGGTTCCAATTATATCATTATCTTAGATATAAACTTGAATCCATAAATACTCATAAATACCCTAATCCCTAAAAGGGCCTAATAAAAATTGGAGATGGTTTCTTTTATATGAAATATATTGCTTCTGTCGGTCGGTACCTGATCGGGACCCAAAACTGTTCAATTTTTTGGGTCCTGGATTCCGCTCAGCCGGAACCGGCGCTGGGTACAGTATTTGTGAAAAAAAATATGTTCTATTGGGTTTCGGATGGCCACGGATTTTCATTTTTTTTTTTAATAGTCGTAGAGTATATGTCTCGTCATGATTCCTGGATACACTATCCCTGTACTTTTTATTGCATGCCCAAGTGGTTAAGAAACTACCTGAATAGTGACTGCATTTTTCACTATTTTTAAACCAAACATAGACACTTCCTATATCCCACTACAGGCAAACAAACAATCCTACAGTTCGTGTTCCGACTCTTCACCCTACCCTAGCAGATCTAACACGACCATTGCAGAGAATGGGAGGACCATATGCTCCTAAAGACGCTTTACTGGGCGGCAGGCCCACGGTCTCCTTCGACGTCCCAATATGCGCCGTCTTTCTTGCTCTATTCATTGCCGGTGCTGCCTCCCACATGACTCTATTCCGCTGCTACCTCGCGCGAGGTCACAAGTTTATCCCATCCGCCATAACATTCGGCTGCATGTCGCGCATCATCGCAAATATCATCCGCATTTCATGGGCATGTCGGGTCACAAATATCCGTATTGCTATTGCGGCCCAGATCTTCGTTGCTGCCGGTGTACTGTTGATGTTCATCTTGAACCTGATCTTCGCACAACGCATGGTGCGAGCAGTCTATCCCAAGGTGGGATGGTCTCGTGCTTCACTTCGGCTTTCAAAGTGCTTTGCAGCCTGGTAGTGGTGAATATCATCGCGGTCATCACCACTGTTGTCCAGAGCATGTACACTCTGAACAAAAATACTCAGCGCATCGATCGCGATATCCAACTCTACTGTCTAACATATTTCGCCATCATCTCATTCCTACCTCTACCTCTTGTTCTGCTTGTTGTCCTGTCTCCAAACAGGAAGCGTATTGAGCAATTTGGCTCGGGCAGCTGGATCGCCAAGGTGCTCCTCGTCATTCTTGTTGGGTCATTGCTCTGCCTTGGCGCCTCATTCCGTGCCGGTACCAAACCTTGCTTCTATATCTTTGACTTTGGTATTGATATCTTGGTCGTGGCGATCTTCCTCTTTGGCCGTATTGACCAACTGTTTTGGGTCCCGAATGGAAGCTCAAAGGTCTGCCACTACAGAGGACTCGAAGATAATGAGAAGGCCTCGCAAAGTGCACAAAATCGACAGGGGGAAGGGGGCCACGATCTCGAGAGCCGGAGTAGCAGTCTGTCTCGGGATTTGGTCGAAGAAGCAAATTAAACGCAAGAATTATTTCCGACTGCGTGTTTAGTATGTTTGGTATGTTATAGCTTGCACTGAAATGTACAGCAAACGAGTATACTTTTGTATGATCATATGATATTATTGATGAGACTACACAATTTGAGCGGAAAAACCGACTCATGGCTTTGAACAAGGTCATTCATCCAGCGGTCATTGGAGTATTTGGAACATGGGTGTTGTTTGGTCATAGAGATGATTTTACCTTCAATGGCGCCAAGAGAAGGATTGAGACTGAACGCAGAAGCAGGCAGCGAGAGACTTGAGACGGATACACCGGGATGAAAAGTAAATCGTGATAAAATTGACTAGTTAAACACGATATCTGCGCGATTCCTCTAGACAGGCGCTTCCCCCTCAGCCAGTTTATATCACTACCCAGGTGGTTTATTATCGGGACGGCTTCTCGAAATGCTGGGTTATTGTTTGAAATCTTTCGCGACTGTATTCGACTACTCTGTGGAGATACAGGGACTGGTGGAAATTGAAGATGATGTAGTAAGGTAATGGTAGCGGCAAGAAACCAAGCCGACAGATTGCAAGTTTGAGATTGACGAAGAAACTCTTTCACGAGCAAGTACTTCAAAAGCGCTAGGTAGAACTACCCAGCTGGGGCGCACTGCAGAAAATTTTCCATAGCACAGTATCTACATCCTATCTCATAGCGCTAGAAAAAAAGAAGGCGCATTTTATGCTAGATGTATGGTTGGCGGAGAGAGGAAAGCCCGGTAAATAGGTAGTATGTGATTAAAGAATCATTTGATTGGTTGATTCAGGCAATGGATGCGAGAAGACATGAGACTGTGGCGGACATCAAGTCGAAAAGACTGCATGTATGGAACTCCCGAAGGAGCGATAGGTATTTAGATGTAGAAGAGTGAAGGAAGCAATGGAAAATGATTCACGAAATATGTGCATGGGTGATTTCAAAAGAAAAGGCAACTTTCTTAACACCAACTCAAACGCCAACCGGGTATCAACAGTTTTTACCCCGATCTTTTGGCTTTCATAATAACATATCCTTGTGGAAAGCAAACAAATATAATGAATCAGAATACATTAAGCGTTGGCATTTATCCACTGAAGCCGATCATCATTAGTTATTGCCAAAGAAATCATCGAACGAGATCCCGAGATCCATATTCATGCCCATATTTTCATACATGCCTATGCCCAGGTTCGGTAGTCCACTATGGCCAGACATCTCTTGTCGTTGTGGCGCAGATTCCGTGGGCGTGTTGTTGGGGTTGTTAGGCTGGAAGCTGTATCCCTGCCATACTAAGGTTTGGTTCGGGATTGAGACCAGGTCTGGGCGGCTAAGGGAGGTATGGCCCAGGGAGATGGGCGAATGGATCCGGGACAAACTTTGGGAATGGCCGGGGTGGAGGTGGCTTGACAACCGATGACTTGATTCCGGGAGGATTTGCGCGTGGGAATCCCGGGAGGTTAGTAAAGCCAAAGTTTGGGATAGAGAATACAACGTTGGGGTCGCCTAATGTCGTTCGTCCCATGCCCGTGTCTTGCCGTGCTAAATCGAAGGGATACCATGCGGGCATTCCAAGATCATGCTGGAAGTGGTCAGCTTCCAAGGTGGACATGGGCTGTGTGGAGTACACGAATGGATCGCCAGGTGGGAACATTATTGGCATGAGATCTGGGAAATTGGCTGGGTTGGTGAATTGATGGGCCCATGCTAGGCTTGATGCCCAACGTCCTCGGACCGTGGCCATCTGAATTCTATGCCAAGACGGCGGGGAAAATGGTCCGAGACGGTCCTGAAGACTGGAGGATTCTGTCACGGTCAAGGGAATCTCCTCGCCCTGACCATTTGACAAGGCGGTCTCCACACTTTCCTTCACAAATTTTGACACTAAAGCATGAAATATATATTTCTCAGTGGAGTTTTCAATTTAAGGCCTAATAATATACTAAACATCCTTCTTTAAATACTAGGCTTCAACAATCTATCCTAACGGGATAGAGTTGTTGGGATATGAAGTTGTAATTTATCGCATTTACTATGTGTTTTGGAGTTAAACCTTCGCCCGTGATGCCACTCCACCGTGTTGCCGCTCGCCCGTGAATTACGTTAGTTAATTAGTTCAATGGATTTGAAAATAAAGGCGATAATTCCCACCCTACATAGAGACAGAAGTTTAGGTCTTTGAACTGGGGCGGATGCAGTTAGTGGCAAACCAGACCACAAATAGAGGTTCGGGCGGGGTTTGTCGGGTTTAGGATTAGACTGGAATGAGACTGGAATGATGGTCGGAGCCCCACCTATACGAAAATTGACGGGGTTCGGACTTATAAATTAGCGAGGATATTCTTGGCAAGGCTTTTCAGCTGCGCCGTCAGTTCTGGTTGCTTTTGTGTCGGTGGAGGTGAACTTGTGTTGCTGCTTTGCTAAACTCGAACCTCACCTCCATCTATTCCTGGAAGTGATAAATGGAGTGGCAATACTGTAGGTACAACTTCTACTGTTCGGTCTCACTCCATTGACCTCCAAAGCTGTTTCGTTGATTAGCCAGCACGTGACCCCCAAAATACTCCATTGAGACCCAGTCAGATTTATCGAATCCCCGACCGTGTCGTCTAGTATTATGGCGCTCATTACCTGCAGCCGTTGTTCGCGCCAGTATATGAGCTATAGTGCTTATTCGCGACACGAGAAGAGTCATGACCGGAATCGATGGCATCATTGTGACATTTGCAATCTGTCATTCTCTCGAATTGACATTCTACGCCGTCACAAACAGATTCACATTAATGCCAATCGCAATAACGATAGGCAGCGCACTATACGAGCATGCGATGAGTGTAGGACAAGCAAAATTCGCTGCAATAGTGCCCTTCCGTGTCATCATTGCCTTCAAGCAGGCAAGAAATGTTCTTATTTGATGAAATCAACTCGTCCCAGCGCTCAAGGGTTCTCAGCGAACCGCGCTGATACAACCCATAATTCTTTTGTGTCCGCGGGCGATCTCCCTCCCACACAAGACAGAGCACTGTTGTCACTATCCTCTGACAGTAAGTGAGAAGATCATAAGACTTTGGGTGATCGAAGATGATTGCTAATGGCTTTAGTCTCCGCGACTTTGGATGTTCCTGAATGCCTTGCACTGGATGCACATTGCCTTGTGACCGAAGTTGAACTGTGGCCACTGCACAGTTTAGATGATGGTACTTCATTATCTCAGGCGTTGTCGGATAATACAGGATCGAGTCCACTGTTCTGTGAACGAGATCAAAAGCGCTTGCGAAAGACTGCTTTGAGCGAGAACTTGACAACTAGACTGGTTGATACCCATGCATCCCTTCCAAGGGAACGATATTTTCCCGAGCAAATGGAGCTCTCGCGTGGGGATCTCGCTGGTCTTGAAATTTCATCTATGGGGATGGGATGCGAAGCAATCCCCACCGGGTTCGAATATTCTCTAATCGGAGGAGACTATCCGACAGGCAAGAAAGAGTCGCATATCATTATTCGAGAAATCGTGTGTGAAGCAGCCGCCGACTTCACAGTCGTTCCACGGAGAGACGCAGTTACCCGCAGTTATAAACGAAGATCTTTGTCGCAAGTGGTTGAGACATGCTTTGACCTGTCCAGCGTGGCCCACGACAGGCAAACCCATCTTTTGCATGGTTTTATCACCTCCTTCTTCGAAAACTTCCATGACCTTTGGCCTATATCCTGGCGACAAGGTTTCGATTATGACTCTGTTGAACCTTTTTTGTACCTCGCAATGACTTCCATTGGCGCCATGTACAGTGGTTCTTCGCATGCAGCTGCATATGGTATGGCTGTTTACCAAGAATTGCGCCCAATCCTTCTCAACGCATGTCTGACATGTCCCGAAACCCCGGTCAAAACGGAAGAGATATTCGAAGCTATCCTCCTGACCGAGATAATGTCGTTGTACCTGGGTCGCTTCCAGGAATCCAAATACATTCGTGAAGCCAGCACTCTCCTTGTATCCTATGCACAGAGGATCAAGCTTTTTTCAGAACTCCCGGACCAACGGGGTCTTGTCGGTCACTGCGATGGCAATCAATCTGAAGAGAGCCTCTTCCGCTGGATCCGCATGGAGAGACGACGGCGGCTGGCCTTCGCGTTTTTACAATGCGAAACTTACTCCAGCATTCTTTTCCACACACGGCCTCTGGTTTCGCATCGCGATTTTGACTTGAAAATACCCTGCAGCCAGGAACTATGGACCTATGTCGGCCCAGACTGGCGCGAGAAGATGTTGACTGCTTCTCAGGCGGCAAATTCGCACACACTATACGCGGACCTCGTTCACACCGCAACGGATGGCACCTTCGGAAACTCTGCAGCACTTGATGCCACATCAAGCGAGCTTATACTTTGCGGGCTACAGATGTTGCTGCGAGAGGTTTCTGAACAAAACAGTCATTCCATCATGCATTCTACCCTTGCTTTCCAAATGATGAATCCTCAACATCACTCTGCATTCCTTTTTGCGGCCGATGGAATGGCGCAGCAACATCTGTCCCCTCGGTCTTGGACGAGCATTCCCTACTCAGACCAATCTTCAAGCTCCTCTGCGTCGTCACATTTTGTTTCGAGTCAAAATATATATCCTGCGGATTATCAACAAGCTTGTCAATCGTTGAACAACTGGAGAACCATACAAGAAGTGCTTGATCTTATCTCTCCCCCGCACACCACACGCCCTGCACCGTGGCTCCTTTACCACATAGGGTGTATTAACCTTCATGCTGATATTAATGCTCTGCAAACACTATTTGGCTGTTCCGGGGAATCTAGGAACCAAGCAGAAACGCAAACCGCCGAAAAGAAAATAATGTCGTGGGCATCCAGCTACGCGGCAAAGGTCGCACTGCATCACGCATACCAAATATGGCAAGTGGTAGAAACCAATCTGCAACGAAATGAGATCAACAATGCCTCGAACTCGAATCACAATCGTCATATCCTACCTATTATCTCTCTTTATTATGCGGGAATGATCATGCGCGCCATGGCTGATCTTTATCCCGAGGGGGAGGCTGAGATCTGGTCACCTGAGAATCCAGGCGCGGGGTCCGCGGGGTTCTGCCTCCCAAGGGGCAATATTTACGTAATCCTCAAAAACATCGGCGCGATAGCTCCGAAAATGAGTCCCATGTGGGAGCCTGTCTCTGCCCTTATTCTGAAAATACAGATCCTGTCGCTGAGCCCGATGCCAACACCCTGGGAATCCAATCCAGGTGTTGATATATATCAACAGCCTGACAGACTGGGTTTATGGTGGACCGGTAACTTGGGTAACGGACTGAACGGACTGGATGCCAATGGGCTTTTGTTGGGATCACCGGGAAACGAGATCTTAGGAAACGGAGAGGAAGCTATCTGGAAACAAGATCTGAGACTAAACTAAAGTGTATTCGTGCCTGGAAACTAAGGCTGGTTACAGGAGTTTTCGATTCCTCGGGCTACCCAGATAGCTTTCTGAATGTAGCTCCAATAGCCCTTCATTTTCTTCTCAGAACAACCATAATGTCATCTTAAGCATCAATATACCAGCTTATCTGTTGCCCACTACCGAAAGGATACTATCTCGTGCTGAAATTCTGACAAACTCCTGTGATCATATCCCTGTATCTCTAGGACAGATATGCTCATTTACGTTAAAGATGCAATTTGGCAACCATCTATCAATTCATCGGTTCTCAAAGCAACAGAACTCCGATCATCACACAAGAAATTATCTCTCATTTCCTTCAGAGGTCTGCTGAAGGGAAAGATTGTATGACTACTTTCATTTCACATATAATGGTTGAACCAGCTGAGTGCCTGTGCAAATGCCTGCTCCTTTGCAAACTTGAAAGACTTGTTACTCAAGTCTGTGCGGACGGCGAATCCGTGCGAAACACCGCCATAGAGGCTAATCTGCCAAGGTTGACCAGCCTTGTTGAGAATATCCTCAGACTCGTGGCGGAGTTGGGCGGTAAAGATTTGATCGATTTCTGTTAAACGTTATTTAAATATTCTTCTAATGAGCACCAGACGTCTTTAAAAAAGACGAACTTACCCGCGGCAGCGATGGTGAGAGGACCGGTGATAGCGCCAAGTTCCTCATGAGACACAAACGAGGGATGAGCCAGATAGCCCACGTCAAGTTTTTTGTTCTTCAAAAAACGGCAGACATACTGCAATAAACAGGCGGATCTTAGACAAAGCCACTCAGATCTACCAAAAAAATACTAGAACGCTTACCTTAGCACCAAAGCAGTAACCGGCTGCAGCGATTTTCTTTGCACCCAGTTCCTGTCTGGCGTACTTGATGGTAGATTCGATGATGGGATCAATGTGTGTTGGCTGATGATTCTTAATCCAATCCTTCAGGTCAACCTTTCCACTCTCCATGTCGGCGTGCGTGAGGGCGTCCCCTTGCAGTATATCGGGAATGAGTGCCAAGTATCCATTGGCGGCAAACTCGTCCGCGAGGAGCTGGCTGTTGATGTAGATACCAAAAATATCGCTCATGATGATAATCACGTTCGAGGGGGCCTTATTTCCCGTAGGATGACTGATATATGTCTTGACTGTAGAATTACCAGCATAAATCAACAGCTTGTCTATACGTCGGGTGGAAATCAACTCACCACCTTCAACATTCTTCAGTTCCCCCGAGGGATTTCCCTCGTGTCTGAAGCCAGTAGTACAACAAGCACTGGGGGGTTTAGAAGCCATTTTAGAAAGTACAGTGTATCGAAACACAGATGAAACAATTGGTCAAAATTAGTAGGAAATGATTTCTATCAGATGCTTGGGGTCCACGATCTCCGGCGTTCTTAAATAGATCTCTGTGTTTAGGATCGATTTGTTATGTTTGCCCAATGACAAAAGGGGTCGTATGAGATAGTTGCACAAAATGGCAGATACGCGGATTGTTTGACCCTAGTGTCCACTTTCCTGCCATCCTACGGCACGGGTCACTAATTACCCAAGTGGGCTTGCGAGCGAGCCACTGAACCACTCTACCCGAGTCCCATGACACAATTATAGTACGCATAATGTGGTCTAAGTCGAGCATCGGGATTATAAAGCATGTCTGAAAATACTTCCGATGCGGGGTTTTGATTGCCGGTTCGGACACATACTGTCTAGGTGGCAAATTGCGCAGGTCCGACACGGTGAAAGCTGATTACAATGTTACCAATATGCCAAATTTCACCCACATATACAGGCGTTGTCAGATAAATTCTGGATACGGTCGATTGTAATCTCTGGTAAGGGCACTACGCTAAATACAAACGTTTAGCTACTTATTCCCTCAAGCTTACAGGGGCAAGAAAGTTTGCGTTGAACAATCGTAAATTTGATCTAAAAGCAGTCAGTAAATTGTAGATCGAGTAATCACGGGAATATTGTTGTTTCAGCGGTGAGGTTCCCACATGTGGGGTCGAAACTATAAATATTGGATGACAGCCCGCGATAAAGAGCTGCAGACACTCATCCCTTCCAAAAACATCAATAATTCTTCATTTGTTTAATTGAGCATATGATCAGAAATGTACAGAGTTGAAGATATCGAAGTGCTGCAATGTGCACCTTCGTCGCTGGATTCGCCCGATGCTCAATATCAGGGATGTAAGCCCGGTACTGTGCTCCTTCCTAAAGGACATCGAAAAGATAGCAATCATGCAGCATTTGTTGCCGACACTATTCTTGAAAGAGATATCGAGATTCCTCTACGTGACGGGACTATTTTGCGGGCAGACGTTTATCGCCCAAAGAATGGTGGAAAGGTTCCGGCACTCATAGCATGGAGCCCTTATGGAAAAAGCGGACAAGGTATGTCGCTTTTCTTTCATCATATTGTGATCTTTTCGGCAACTGACTACCTGGCGATGGGGTTAGGGTTTCTGACTCTTGACCTAATTCCTGGACGTGTTGGCGTTCCGCAAAGCAAGTTATCCGGGTATGAGAGCTTTGAGGCGCCAGACCCGGCCGAGTGGACGTCTCGGGGCTATGCTATCGTTAATGTGGACATACGAGGAGTGTTCGACTCTACTGGCGACATCAGGTATATTTCCAGTTAACATTCATAGCTCGTTAACCGATTATTATCATGGTACTGATGCCTTATAGATGGTTCGGAACAAGTGACGGCCGAGATGGTTACGATGCTATTGAACACATTGCCCAGCTGGATTGGTGCGTAGGAAAGGTTGCGCTGGTGGGAAATTCATGGCTGGCTGCAACTCAATGGTCTATCGCGGCTGAACAACCACCCCACCTGGCCTGCATCGCCCCATTAGAGGGTGTCAGTGATTTCTATCGAGAGACTCTTTGTCGAGGCGGTGTCCCTTACACGCCTTTCTGGGGCTTTCTCGGAAGTCATGCTCTCTTTGGTAAGGGTCTTGCTTTATGTTCTGTGTAGAGAATTTTTGATGTTAATTGTTAGATCACAGGGCGGAACCAACAGGAAGATGTCATGGGAATGCTCGATCAATATCCGTTGATGAATGATTACTGGAAAGATAAGAGAGCGAAGATCGAGAATATCAAGGTCCCTGCCTACGTGCTGGCAAGCTACTCCAGCGGTCTCCATACAATTGGCTCCTTCCGTGGGTTTGAAGACCTTCCTCACCAAAATAAATGGTAGGGTGGACCTCCCCCTAAATTCCCTCTCAATTTACGCATACTAATTGTTCCAGGCTGCGGGTTCATCCGACCTTTGAATGGCATGACCTATACAAACTAGAAATGAATAACGAGCTGCAGTTATTCTTTGATCATTTCACAAAGGGGATCCAGAACTCATGGGAGCAAACCCCACGAGTCAGAATCTCTACATTACATTTCAACAAGGTACATTATTCACATTTACGCATGTCTCCGCTATCCTTTTAACACAACCTAGGAGCCGGAACTGAATCATGCATTCAATGATTGGCCAATCCCCAACGCACGGCCTCAGCTGCTTTACCTGTCTGCCGATGGGAGCCTCAATGAGAGCCCCTCTCCTAGCACTCTGGCTCTTTCTTATCAGTCCGATGTTGCCGCAATGCAGATGGACACAGACTGTGAGGAAGTCCAGTTTGAGTACACTTTCAAACGTCGCAGCTATCTCATTGGTTATTCCAAGGTTATTCTGTACATGTCTTGCAACGAGCATGATGACATGGACGTCTTTGTTCAGCTCCGCAAAGCGGACAGCACTGGCAAGATGCTGCAGAATATCAACATTCCCCTAAATGATCTGCAAATGCATTCATCCGAGGTCGAAACCATCAACTGCTTGAAGTATCTCGGGCCCACGGGTATCCTGCGTGCCAGTCACCGAAAGCTGGACTCTCGCCTCTCAAAGCCACACTGGCCAGTCCATACGCATGACCATGAAGATCGTGTGGAGCCGGGAGAGGTGGTGCGTCTGGAAATTGGGCTCTGGCCCACTGGCATTGTCTTTGAGGCGGGCGAAAAGTTGGTTTTGAAAGTTGCTGGACATCATATGGCACTGGCTGAGTTTGTTCCTCTGCGAGGAGCTTTCAAGGCGGGCAACAAAGGTCGCCACTACGTCCACATGAGCCCAGAACACCAAAGCCAAGTCATCTTTCCCATTGTCCCCATGTAGCCACAGAGGAAGGAAACGTTAGTTGGATCCTTTAGTCGAGAGCATGATCTCGTGTTGGCTAGGAAGGATAATATTATCCTACCCTCTTTGTTCATTGCATGTTGACTGAGTGTCGTAGAAGAGTGCCTTTACTGATAAATTTGGAGTGGATCAACCGGCTTGTTTCAACACCAGCATTCCATATACCAGCATTCCATGCCCTGTAAACAGGATATTCATCTCCTGTTGCTTGAAACTATCTGACCAGTTCTTTCTATCTGTCATGCTGCTTAGTTGTGTCGTCTCCTCAGTTAATCCAATACTTTACCATCCTGTCAACTGTGAAAGTTGGAGTAGTAGCTTCAATTCGTTTGTGCATCGGCAAGCGTGGCCTGCTCCCCACTATACTGCCACGTACAAACCACAACCTTTATTCAGATTTGAGGAAAACAGTTTAGCTGAGGATGCAAAATTTCGACCTCCAGGCTCCTGCAAACTTTGGGTCAGTCTTTGGATCGGACTTTGGACACCGAGCCATTATCCAACGATCACACAAACCTCCATTTCTTAGGCATATGCCCAGAATATCTTCCCAAACATGCTGTCTCAAAGTCTCTTGCAGTGCTCCAGTCGCCGAGTCCGATAGGCGCACTGTCTGAGGGGCTAGCTAGGCCACATCTAGCTACGGTCTTAACGTCCTGGTACAGTAGTAGGTATTTGACGTCCGATCCATCACGCACTAGAGTGGGGCCGAAAAAACAAGAACTGGGAGATTAAGCTTCGTCGGCTACGACCCGTGGCATGTATTCTAGATAGTCCACCCTTTAATGGCGAGTAATTACTGAAGCTGTACGACTGGACATACAGTACGGTGTGGACCGTTCACAGCTCTCTCAACCGCGGGGCCGCTTCGACCGCGAGCGACCCCTACGGCGGTCGATAGAGATCCTTTTATCTTGGCGGTATTATTGTTCTATCCGGAGAGTCCAGCAGAGTTCGACATGATCAAGGAAACCCTCGCCAAGGCGTTAGATGTCTTCGCCTCGCTCTCGATGAGCAGTACTTTCTGCAGCAAGGCTGTTCCCATCGTGCGCCGGATCATGTCTGTTACTCTCTCCTCTCTATAAATTGCCGTTCCCTTAACTGATATTTCAACTCTATTCATATAGCACGTTGCATCCACACACTACACCCAACCACAACACCAAGAACAACCCCATTCACAGTTATCCCCCCAGACCCCGGTCCGGCCGCAGACCCACCTTCCTACGTCCATGTCGCGCAGTATGCCCTCCCTCCCCAATACAGCTTCAAGATGAGCTGTCAACCCCAATCGCCCACGCCCACCGTCGTCTCCTTGGTCAGCGACCCCGGCACGCACTCGAGTTGGCTCAGCCCAACGTCGATGCCGTGGGATACACTGGGCGACTCGAAAAGCTACTACGACAAGGTCAATGAGGATGTGGCCTACGCTGTTGTCATTGTTTTGGAGATATTTAATCGATTGTATTTGATCCTGATCACGCCTATTGCTATTAAAGTCCAATCCTCTGGGTCCACCTAAGCGCTTTACCGTACGACGCAGCTCTTCTTATTCGCTCATTGATGCAGCGCCAGAGAAACGGTCAAATGAGCTGCCAATACACCATCAACCCCTCTGGGATCCACCTCATAGCCAGGGTCATGCATTGGAGTTGGCGGTAGTGCGAAAATCAGCTCCCGAGAGCTAGGATTCTCTAACGTCACGAACGAAATCCACTGTGGAAGCAGACATGGCCTAAGGAAAAGCTATTATAGTGCAGTATACTCTTCTAACTATTCGAAGCTTTTACGCTATTTGGGACGTGGTAACTTCATATAGGAAAATGAGAAGCAGCACCTTATTTCAATTTAGTTTAGCAATAGTATAATGCGGGACGAGCTAATGGTTTCTTGGGTATTCCATTCCAGTGACAGAGTTATATCCCTCGGTTTGGATCTTTGACTCTTTGTCTTGTTGCACCAAGACGCAACACGAGCAACACAGCGACTCTATGCAGTCTCCGTAGTCTGATTCCTTGATGTGGAAGCGCTTTCTGAAGCGTCCTCTATGTATCATAAGTGGTACCCAGTGAAGCCCACAACAAGTAAGCAATGCGAATAGGCAGCACTGGGAATAGTTAATTGGTATCATTGCGAACTCTGACTAGGGAATTCCCTGGTACCGTACATAAATGTTGCAGTAGCTTTCCTTTTGACCTCCGTCTCATTGCTTTTGGTATTTCGGTGATAGTTGGAAACCTACAGATTTTCTTGGGATTAGTGCAGCTCCAAAACGGATAGCTCCACTTCTCTTCGGCAAATCCGTCCAAGGTTGACTCCGACATTGTGATTCATGGTAGGGAGGTCCAGCACAATATTATAAGTACCTTGAAGAAAAGGATGTATAACAAGAACGGCCAAATTTCAGGAAGAGCGGTCAAATGGTGGCTTTCAAACCCCCAGAGGTACAGTACAAAAGTTGTTGGTTACCACAGCGGTAGTCGTTATTTGAGCCATCCAAGAACCCCGCCCTTAGATATAGCCACTATGTTCAACATTGACAGGGGTTAGCTAGCACTTCCCGACCAAAAGACTAGACACTGACCGATACTGTATAGGCAAGATCACTCGTTCGGATTCTATTCCATCCCAATTCTTAGCGACACAAAAAAAGTCTTCCGTATTTCTGAAACGCTTAACATTGCATCGGAGCAAGTTGAGCGGGGGTGCATTAGGGTATAAACATGAGTCACATTTTTTGAACGGCTGTAGCTTTTCCTTCTTTTTATTCTTTTTCCGTGGCTCTTTTTTCTTACTTTATCTGGTCCAGGTGTTGAACGATTTTGGTGGCGACTGCAGGGTCTACTAAAGTTCCGCCAGAAATGGTGTGAACGTCCAACGGAGTGTTCACTAAAATTCAGTCCGGTGTAACTTTCGAGGCACGTATACGCTGCAGGCCTCCAGCGGAAGTTGGCGCAAAAGCTCCTGGAATGGGCCTCGAGCAGACTTGAAGTATTCCTGGAAAATGGGTGGTTTCAATGGCCTAGGATATCCACTGTTGAAACCTGGAATCACTTTCCCAGAACACAAAGGCCGGGGTCGCGGCGGAGGGATGCTTCCTGTGCCGGGTGGCTAGATGGGTTTGGAGATGGGGAACAAGGACTGCATATTCACATGGGCGGCAGATCCATACACGGTGAGTTTTATTATAGATAAAGAGATCCATCTTAGGCAGTGCAGGGCCAGGGGATGATAGATCTGTTGATGTTTAGAGAGAGGGCGATGGGGGGATGAAGATGAAGATGAACAAACCATGGTAGGAACGCGTGTGAAAAAAACGCGTGTGAAGGGAAAAAAAAAAAAGGCAATATAGGTACATAATATTATTATTATATGTCAAAATATTGGGGAAATAATTATTCGAGGATAAAATGAAAAAGGATAAGGTCTTAAGGATTTGGCTCTCAATTTCTTCCACCAATGGCGGGGCGGAGAAGTGGGATGAACCCTTCATCCGCGACGTCCTAGGGTGTAGGGTCAAAACGCTGAAAAAACGGTTGAAAACGGTGGTGAATTGGTGGAGAATGGGTAGAATCTGATATTGCGGATCTATATACGAGTGGGGCTGGTGGATAAGCTTATCTCTACCCGCACCGCACCCACTAGCCTTCAGGACGGGAACTTAGAGACCTACTCTAAGTCTAGCTTGGCCGCCCACTGGTAATGACCTCACTTAGAATACAAACAACACTATTTAATAGATATGTGTCATGGGTTTTGTAGGCCTTGCCCTATACAAATAATCAGCTGGAGCTCGGCAGAACCTCGCTAGAGAAAGGGTCGCTCAAACTCGCAGCCTCTAAGGCTATAAGTTCATTCTGCTATCAGTCTATCACTTACAGCCCTTTCCCCTTATCTTGTTGACACCTAGGAGTTGCGCAATTAGTGACACCGTAAACTGATAGCAAGGCGCGGTATAGATCCAAATCTAATAGATTGGATTATAGAGAAAAAAAAATCTATATTTGATGGATGGTAAGCAGCCTTATTTGATTACTTTCCTGTACATATATATATACATATATATATATTTAAAGCTAAAAACTAGTGTTTGATCAATAAGGGAAGAAAGAGGAAAAAAGAATAGATCTTACTATATTTCTAATAAGATACTAATACACGCGAGATAACCTCCTAATCGTTCCAGAAAGCCTCTAATCTTTGAAAGTTCTTTCCAGCTACTCCATCAAGATGGGTATGTTTCTGCCTTTTCCGAGCTATGCTACTGTCTCTTATATCGTCTGAATTGAGATCAGCTGGCGTCCGTTTAGTAACAATCAAATTATCCGTAAATCCCAGTAAATGATGCCAGCCACGGCTAACGACCCGATACTCCCACCGCCTTGCCTCTAGGTGGCCTAGCGCCTCATTCTGGGGTCGAGCATACATCATACTAGAGGTCCAAGAGGTGTGTGCAGCCTGAATATCCGCTAGGTGAACAGGAATTTCATACTCTCGCTGGAATCCGCGCACACGGAGGTGTCGTCTTGAGATCGCGTTCGCGACATGCCGATAGTCTGCGAGAGTAATATCGATCTTTAGATACTCTTGGAACTCTCGGCGTAATGCCTTGCTTAGTCGATCACTAGTAAAGCCGCCAGCACCTGGAGGCCAAAGGAAAGGGGATATCAGTGCAGTCTCCTGAAATGCTAAGCCCCGCAGCTGTCATTAGAATGGCTGGACTAGCCAGAGATAATAGACTAGGATCTGGCTGACACACTCCGGAAGATATTGGTGGATTAGAGACGTAGAGCCTGTCATATGGTATCCTTTGTGATATGCCATCACTAACCCCACGAGCCCGTTCTCCACGAAGATACCTCAATGTCGTCCATGCACGGTATTAACATGTCGCAGGCTAAGGATTCCCGTGCCACAGGCGGGATGGCCCAAGGTTAGATGGCAAACTATAAGCAGCCGTTCTAAAAACCGATCAATCTGTACAAGATAATCTCTGGCAGTGGCTATTTTCCAGCCAAATTATTCCCTTCCCTGGCTTATCTCCAGAAACTGTTCTCGGAGATGTGGTTCGTGAATAATATAATCTAGAATCCATCGCTCGTATCCTGCGAACTAGGTCTGGTTCTGTAAATGTCGAAGAAAGTTCCATCCCGCAGCTAGATTGGCATAATTATCATAGATTTGAGATAGGTCGAACCGAGGGATAGTCGGCGGTAACAAAGATGAAGTCTGCAGAAGAAGGTCGTTTAACTGTGATTGCAGCAACTCAACCTGATATTGAACAAAGCGCTGGAGATCTGCCATATAAAGGGACTGGCCCCTATAGCTAAGCGTGCTGCCATCATCAGACTAATCCACATGTCCAGAAAGAACCGGTGTCTGACGGATCCTGATCTTTTTACCATAGGTGCGCAGCCGGAGGGCCCAACCGATAGGAGTAGCGCATCCATGGATTAGAAATCGTTGACGCATCTCGTTCAATATACTAGAGGGTTCATCTACCGACCCCTCCTCCACAGCTAGGACAGATCTCTGGATCACCAGCAGCTGCCCAATCTTGATGAATCCCGAAAGGATTGGTGTATATATAGAGGCACCACGAAAGGTCTCCTTCTGTTCATCAATTCCTAGGATTGCTAAGAATCCTACTACCACACTCTCAAAGACATCCCTTCGCAGGATATGATCGAGAAGGGCAATACAGAAGAGAAGACAGGTTCGATTTAGTTTCTCTGAAGTGTCTTAAATGCCAGATTTGAGTGGTGGCCCAAGACCGTTAGGGGGATTAGAGATAGCTGAAGAGGTTTGTTTGTGTAACTGCCGACTGAATTACATCATTTGAAATAGCAGATCTGCCTGTATTTCAGTTAAGCGGTGGCCTAATTGAATTGACTGCTCAGGCTGAGTAGTGCAGTAGATAAAACAGAAGAGGCGCTTCCAAATCCATTGATAATGCTTCTCAGTCACTGGCTGAAGATGATAGAAGACCGGGCAATGACTTAGCCGCCGGTAGGCATCATCAACAAAGCTATTGATCCGAGCTTGATCGAACGCATTGATACGGTGAGTGGATATTGACTGAACAGCCTGATCAAGAATAGTATCAAGGCTCTCGGTCCAGAGCTGCAATAGAGGTTCTTGCTCAGGATTAGGCATATATATAAGAGCAGCTAGTTCCGAGAAGGTATAGCCCTGGGTATAATCCTGCCATCGGGTTCTTTCTAACCAGGGGTTGATAGCAGTGTAGTGACAGTCTGTTGTGATAATCTGATATTGCTGTTCCTTATTCTGCTCTAATTGTTGGATCTGCTCGTAAACCTGATCGCGAATAAGATTGGTTTCGGGGGCTGCTGTCGGTTTAAGAGGCGGTATAACCTGAAAATACTGGCTTTGGGGACCCGAGATAAAGAAGCGCTGACAATATATATTTTCCCAGAGATTTGGACCCGGCTTTCGCTGTGCTAATGAAATAGAGCTGGTAGACTTCCGGGGTCGCCCTTGCTGTTATAGGGTAGGCTGATGGGTCCGGACATGTTTTTGCATCCAATTCTCAGAGCAAGTCACAAATGGGCATTACCTGCATCCAAGCCCTTGCTCTACTGGCAGATCTGGCAAGGCAGACGCAGAGGGGGGTGGGATCTGGACCTGTTCCTGAGACGGATCGGCTAAATCATGTTCTTGGAGCTGTTTCTTTAGCTGAGATACTGCTGCAGCGGAGTCAAGGCTTAGCCATTCTTTGCAGTGGCCTTGTAGATGACTGTGAAGGTGCGCAGCTAGAATAGCACGACCGCAAAGCTTGCATATCAGCACTCTATATTCAGGGAGATAGCGAAAATTCTCCATTGCGGCCTTTTCGTGGGATCGGACGTGCCAAACGGGAAAAGGGAGTTAGTGGTGGGGATCGTCAACAAAGCTCAATCGGGGGGGTGCTCCTGTTATTTGACTGGTTAATGCGTGTCACGTGCGCGTGTGTGGCAATTCCGGGTAATGGTGATGGTGCGTGGAACTCAGCGGGGGTGGGGCTGGCGCGGACCAATAGGAACGCAAAGAACTCGGGAGGGAGCCCTGCCTCCCTTTATGGATCAGGTCAAATTTGAAGAATTCTTCGACAGCTCATTATGGGGACTACTAGTTCACAGTAGATTCTGACGAACCTGACTGATCCATGCCAAGATCCTGTTTTGCTTAGTACACAAAAGGGCAATTCCTCGAAATGAGTAAAGGAGACCCTTGTTTCAAGTTAATTGCTTCTGAAACATCTTCATAACCTCGACTTATCATTACGTAGTATTAAGCCTTCTGGTCTCAAAGAATCCAGGCGATGGCGCTTGAGAATCAGCAGGCTAACCTGAAATCTTGGTGGTGTTACCCCTGGCGTCACCATGCTAATTTAAGAGCATGAAATAACCCACTCACAGCAAGCGCAGAGCTTCGGGCTTGAAGCCTAAAATATGATTGACATCTAACTTCCCTCGTCGAAGGAAACTGTCGAGCGAGCTTCATCTATCGTCAACAAATTGCGACCCGGAAATCACGATAGGGGATATTTGAAAATATATAAAACAGGACCCTCATCTTACATTCTTTCTTTTGCATTTAGTCGTTCCCCACAACCTTCCATTCACTTCTCTCATGAGTCTGGTTACTCACGAGTTCATTCATTTTTCCTCGCTGACATTCCTTACAGTACTACCCGCTGTGGCGGCCCCTTTCTTTTCACTGATTTCACGGTGTACTTCGACTGAATTATACGAAGATGCATTTCAAAGCTACAGCTATTCAGTTTGCTGCCCTTTCTGCAACAGCATTTGCCAAGGACTCTCGAACATTCGCTGTGAACCACTTCTATGGCCAGGGTCCGCTAACAATGGGCCGTATGGATCCCATCATCAGTCCCGGTACTGCATCCAGTCATGTGCACGCGATCCAGGGGGGGAGTAACTTCAATTTGACTATGGGTAACGATGTTCTGTTGGACTCACGTTGCACCTCTTCCCTCGTGGAGGCGGACAAGAGCAATTACTGGACTCCGACATTATACTTCCAAGATCCCACAAATGGAAGCTTCATCTCAGTTCCCATGTTTTACATGAATGTCTACTACTTGTGCGTAGCCTTTAAGTCCCGCATTTTTGAGAAATCAAGTTGCCGACTAATAAAGAACAGTTTCGAACCGACCGATGATGATATCAAAGCCTTCCCTGTCGGCCTCCGCATGGTCAGTGGGAACAATAGCCTTCGAACTCCCCCACCGGGCGGAGCTGCCAATGTCCTGGACACGAATGAAGGCGTCATTCAACCAGTTCAGTGGACATGCCCACGGACTTCCTATGATCCTCCCTCGTATCCTGCAGATTCCGATGGATTGCATGGTGTTGGGATTCAAGACCCGAATAATGCTGGGGCTGGGGCTGGCTTCCCGCATATGAACTGTGACGGATATGCATCCCCTCTGCGTGCTGATATTCACTTTCCTTCTTGTTACAACCCCGAGGCTGGCCTCGATGACTTCAAGAGCAATATGGTGTTCCCGAGCAGCAAAGGAACCACAGGGGGCAAAGCGAATTGTCCGACAGGATGGACTCACCTCCCCCATATCTTGTACGAAGTTTACTGGAACACCCCTTTGTTTGTGGACATGTGGGAGCAAGGGAATGGCACGCAACCCTTTATTTTGGCAAATGGCGACCGCACTGGGTACTCTCTTCACGGGGATTTTGTGGGTTTTTTATCCTGATGAGTCCTTGGTACTATAGCTAATAAGTTTATCTAGATCTCTGGCTGGGATGTGGACGTCTTGCAAAAGATTATTGATAACTGTGATGCCGGCGATTCGGGCATGGACAAGTGCGCCGACGCTGGCACAATCAACGACTCTTCCGACAGCTGCAACATCGCCAACCTGGTCCCCGAGAAGATTTCCGGTGTTCTCGAGAAGCTGCCAGGCAACAATCCCCCAACTGGATGGGGTCAAGGCGAGAGCGCATCCTCTAGTTCATCCGATCCAGAAAGTACCTCGACTGCCACCAGCATACTGTCTGCATCTCAGACCTTGTCTACCACACCTACTCAAGTCTCTACTACAGACAACAGTATCATCGGCTGGTCATATCTTGGCTGCTATTCCGACAATGAGTCTACTCGTGCGCTCACTGGGATCCAATTCGCGGATCTGGGCATTGGCAATGTGACTTCAACTGGCTGTATGGAGTATTGCGGAAATGCAGGCTTTAGCCTGGCAGGCACTGAGTACGCTGGACAATGCTTCTGTGGTGACAATATGGAAGGCAGCTCTAAGATCGCGGCAAACGAATGCGATATGAAATGCGAGGGTGACACCTCTCAGATTTGCGGTGGCAGCTTGGCATTGAGCGTGTTTGAGAAGGCTAAGAAGACTGCATCGAAGAGATCTCGCATGGACTTTCTTCAACATGTGCACGGCAAACATGTTTGATTTCAGTTTTGCGTGAGCGAGTATCTGGTATGTTAAATTACGCGTAGACTCAAATAGCACTCTAAAGTGGAGAAAGGAGTAAAAACGGACCAATCATACTTCTACACTGTAAGGTAGTGTTAATTGAGTGGAGCCTTCTCAGAGAGTCTGCGCCAGGAACACATTCTTCGTCTCCAGGATCCAAGCTATACACTGCCGGGAGCTATAAGTCCTCTAGGAGCGTGATTCCTACTCCCGGGAGCGAGCAGCATTGTTCCTGGGAACTTTGCCCTCATCCTTTCAGTCTATACAGGATGGATGATTTCATTTACCCCGACCCCTCGCAAAGCGATATGCAGGCTACAGCAACTATATATTGTTGAGGTTTCATCAGTCTTCAATACTGCTGAGGCTTCCTTGATAGATATCAGGTGACTGAGAGCTTCTGTTGCTCTCCGTCCTCCCTGAGACACGTTAGCTTTGTATGGTAATATGGACCTTTGGGAAGCGTGTAAAGCACGCTTCTACTCAGGGGTTATCTTAGACTTCTCAGACACCTTCAATATTACTCAATTGCAGGCTTGCGCCGTTCCCTCCAGATCCTATGTATACAGAATCCACCGCTGCTGATTATTGCATGTTTGCTCCTTGCAAGTAGTGTTGCGGCCTTGGTCTGGCTATTGTTGTGCTTCGGCCATGTTAAATAGCCTTGGGGAGATGTGCAGTACAATCCCCAAGAATCAGTCTTGTCCTGAATCTGATCCCATTGTTCCTTTCTCAATCACATCTGCTTCTTCTTACCTAGTTGATGGACCCTTGTCCAGTATACTGCCCTTTACACAGAGGTGCTCTCAATATCTTGGAGTGGGTTTGCTGAGGCGTGGATGATATGTAAAATGCCATCCTCGTCTGTGTCCGGGTACTCTGGAAGAATAAGATGCTCCTGGACTTCGTGAGTGACGGTAGCATCTTTGGTGCTACTACTAATTTTTGTCCATGGTGGATACTTCTGGAGCATACTTTTGCATACCCTGAAGAATTGTCGTAATACAGAATGGCAATTAATACATGGCAGCAACAGATTGCGAGTTATCAACAACACCCAGAAAGGAAAATTGTGTTACTGTGAAATCAAATACGGGCCTGAAAACATATTGATACCATTTACCATCTTGGAAACAACCTCGCCTGGTCGACTCATGATCTCACAAACTGAATTGACTCGCAGCAATGTCGACCAGAGCATAATGCAAGTTTCCTTTATGCTTTTTAAGCATGCATCAATTGGGAATCTAAAGTACCTTCGGCAATTGATATTGGGAAGTTCTATTTTGGGGCTACAGTGTATATTGTGGATTATTGTCGCTGTGCACAGCCAAACAAAAGCGATTTGGTATTGCTACTGAGCCGATAAGTTCAAGGAATTGGAGTAATAGATCGCAAATGAATATCTGATTGCTAGGAGGGCCTTTCTTAATTTTTTAAGTTGCCAACAATAAGTCACTGTGTCGCAAAAGCTATAAGATGACCTGAAAGTGGGATTAATTAACCCGTCTCCCCAGACTACATGTCCTCCCACATTTTACCCTCTTCTATTTCTGCACTTCCACTATGAATGAAAACCATCTTGAAGCCCTCCTCTCAGCTATTAACAACAGTTCCTTCACAAAATTCAATGCGCTGAGCCATGAACTTCTGAGCGAACTATACCGGAAGCTTCTCCCCGAACTTTCAAACTCGCATAGAGCACTAAACGCTCTTATTGCCCTGCAACAGTGTGCAGTAGTGCCACCTAAGCTTCAAAAAGGAAATTAATATCTTCTGTAGAACTCCTGTAACGTGCTTCTGAGTCAGTGGAGACTGTATAAAGATTTCAATCACACTATCATCCACCAACACGGTCTACACTCTGAACATTATCCTGATGTTATTTCTATGTCTTTACGTGACCGTCCAGAGCTTTTCAGGAAGCTACTCCTTCATGGGCTCATCTACCCAAGTTGCTTTAACAGCGCCGGACTTAGTCTTGTCTATCTTGCGGTTGGCAACAATCAAATCAATATTGCTTGTGAGCTAGTATCGATGATGACGCCGGAGCAAATCCTGACCCCGGCTTCTATCATCTCTGGGAATTGCCAAGAGACGATCTTCGAACTGGCGGTTAGGAATGAACAGATGTTCCATACCTGCTGGACACAGCTTGAGTCACTATTGGATCAGATGTTGTGGGGAACTCTCGACCAACGTCATCTTACCCATGTTTGCCGGTTTGCTACCTCTAACCTCGCAGATCGCATGCTATCTCGAGGGCTAGACTTGGCATCCATATTCAAAATTGATCCCTTACATGCTTGGACCGAAATTGCTCTATATCACCTAAGTCCAGAAGGTCTATTTGAATGGTTCTGCGCCAAGGACACTGCCTGCCGTGTATTAAAAACGCTCTAGACACACCACTACTTGCTGCAGCTCGACATGATCGAGCTGAGGCAACAAGCTGGCTCTTATTTCATAGCACTGATATGAGCGAGCAGTGGAGCTGTGCGTTTGACGCGGCTAGGCGTCAGACAGCAGGCAGCATCCGTATACTTCAGATGACCATGAAGCGTATATCATTGGGAGTTCCAGCATTTCCCGTCAACTGGGTTCAGGAACTTGTTTTTGAGGCCATTCAGGGTGCTTGCAATCATAGCAGAGAGAGTCAGCCCGGAAGTATTAATACAGCAGAGTGTTATGCTATCCAAAAAATTGGATGTGCAGCGCAATTCGCTGAAGATTCCCTTTTGTTCCCCAAGAGTATGTTGTCAATTGCAAGAGGCGCAAATCTATCCAGCCTGGTGGAATATCTACAGACGCTTAATGATGAGGCTCGAAGGATGCTAGCGCTTGGTCTTGACCTTTGTTGAGTTCTTTTTCTGCTATTCTCATTCTAGTTAAATATATCCCCCCTTCAAGCCTAGTGCCCCGAGGTTAGTCGCATAACCACCCAATTAGAATGTGTCTGTGTTGGACAATTAGCTACTGCCAGAATGACCTAATTCTATCCTATTATTCCCGGGGAATGACGAACCAATTGCTCTTACCGAGTTCCTGAGGCTTCCGATCTTTGACTATAGTATGGATTAAAAAGGAAACATAACAAACACCCCATGGCAATGGCTACGTACTTTATATGAGTGCTCGCGTTTCCCTTCGATCCGAAGCTGCTCCTAGCAAACCTCGTGTTTCCATATACTAGGCAATATATGTATAATACTTTGATTGATATGCGAGGAGGCGTGGTTATCTTATTCAGAGCCTATATAAACACTGACTTTATAAGTATAATCTAAGAACCTTTTTACACAAAATTAAGCTTAAATAAAAAAGTACTATCTTCTAATATGCATTTTATTTTAATTGCAGTGCTAGGTTTAAGAGTGACATCATCACTATAGTGCCCAAGGTACTTGCTAAGTTGGGGAGCCTTGGGAGGCTATCTTGGTAAATGAAAATGGACCCCTGAGGGATATTTTCACGTCGCTGACGATGGAGTGGCGTGATCGTATTTGTTGAAAGAATAATCCCTTACAAAATGCAATCCCAAAACAGCTGATACAGGGGGAGAAAGAAGAGGAAGAAGAAAACTGCCTCATCTATCTATACAGATCTGTTGCTTTCTCTACACTAATTTTCCCAAGAGCCAACACTTCTACTCGGATTCTGACGTGTACTCTCGAGCCCTGGGAGAAACAGGAAGAGGAAATGGAAAATGCCTCATCTAACTACCCATGCTATAAGCCTATAACCCCAGTAGGAATTGTGGAGGAGTATGTACTGAAATGAGGCTGTGGCACCATTATTGTACATATGTGTTGGTTTCTCTAAACCAATTCTGGCAAGAACCATCACTTCGCCCCCTGCTCTGACGTATGCTCTAGACCCTGGGACTAGCACGCACCTCCTGCCCAGGTTATGATTGGGGCGACACATTACCTAGTTTAGCATAGTGCTTGACACTCCAGGTTCCGCTTCCTGGGCCCAGCGTTACAGCGTACCAGAAAAGTTCGATGTCGATCATGCATAACTATTATTTATTTTCCAACTGTATACTAAACTCCGCTCACTGCTGTGTTCCAAACATTAAAAACCCTTAACCTCCACTACCACCCCCAACAATAGCAAGGATCCATTATTGGCTGATAGGTGGCAGTATACAAAAGGGCAAGGATCATTGCCTGGATCATAATAGTCTTATTAGTTTGTCTTAAGAATCTAAGGGCCAGAGATAGTACTTTCTTCGCCCCAATTGAGAATACCAAGTCCCTTACTACATTTAGATGGATATCTTGCGAAACCGGCTCCCAAGAAAGCCGCTCAGGAGGGCATCAGTGTCTTCGAGGCCATGAGCAAGTTGAAATCAGTACCTCAGGGATATGTCCACATCGCGGATGACGGAGTGGCACGAGCTTACGACGAGAACGAATCCGTTATCGACTATGTTCCCTTGACCAATGACCAGCTTAAGCAGCTGCTCGCGAACCTTCCAGAACCATGGAAGAAGGAAGCGGATCATTTGCACGCTGTATTTGATGACGTCGACGGACGTCAAGTTACGGATGAGAAACAGTTGCTTGACCCTCCTGCTGAGCTTCGAAATCCCATGCCTCGTCAGGCACCTCAGTCTAAGCGCGCCGCCGACCCTCTCCAACAGTCCGACTATTTCTGCAGAGGCCAACTCTGCAATGATGATCCAGCTTGCCAATTCATGGGCTGCAGAGGTTGTTATAGGGTGGATTTGACCTATCCAGAAGCACCGGGTCTTTGCTATTAGTGAAGCATACTTTCTGTTGCCCTCGCACCTTGCCACCTTCAGAGATAGGCTAGTGCTTCCCACAGTTGTTCCCTCATCTTATTCCTTCTTCATGAACGATAGTCTATACACATCCTAGATGGTACAGACCTATCTTCATTCTTCACTCATCTCTTTGCCGAAGCCTTCCTCAAGTTTAGTCAAAGCAGAGCCGTCGGATCTGCGCAACTGCCTAAATGACATTTATAAAAGGTGTACGCTGAATATTTAGATGTGAAGGTTCAATGTGTCAGATTGTCAAGATTAAAATAGGTTACATGAGAGACAATTATTCCCAGTCAACACCTTAGTGCCTGAGGCAGAAATTATTTGCTCACTGGTTACATACTCATAACCAAGCAAGTGCGCACTTCAGCTAAGCAGCTACCTGTGAATATGTTCACCTGTTCCCATGCTTTGTTTTCTAGATAGTTGACTCACCTACCAATGCTAAGTTATTTATTATACTTGACTGAGGTGTTGTGATTTCACATAATTCACCTAAGAATGATAGACGGAATGTATCAGAATCCTATGGATTTGGACATGATAATTCTAAATAAAAAAAAAAAAAGTTGGGTTTTAGTGATAAGATGAGCAGCAGATGTCCAATGAACCTGTTGGGAAGGTTATAGTACGCACATGTGACATATGGGCCTGAAGTGGTCATGCATTTTACAAGGAAACTAGTTCACAGAGTAGCTTAAAGTCTCTCTTATACCCCTTTTCAGGGCATGTGACCACTAGTCATCACATCACCATTTCCTCTCTGCATTAGCTCGAGTATCAGCTTCCCCTCACCACGCCTCTCAGAGAAGTCTTCACCACCTTTCAACTACGCTCTCTCTATTATACAATACAATCAAGAGTTTCATTATATCACACAGACAGATCACTTAAATCATGTCTTGCATAGTAAGAGTATTTCTGACAGCTTGCACTGTGCGATACTGACACTGCAATAGAAAGACGAAGAGGCATCGAAGGCCTGGCCATCCCTTAAACGCTCGCCATCGGGCAAAGGCTTCTCCCACCTTGCTAGCGACGGAGTGTACCGCCAGTTTAGCTCGAGTGGCGAGGTAGTAGATTATAAGCAATTATCCCCGGCGGAAATTACAATGATGCTGGAGTTCTTTGAAAAACATATGGACTCAGAGGCTTTTCAGAAGTCTAAGAAGAAATTTGACGGAGTGGATGGCAGAAATGTGACCGATTTGGAGCAACTGCTTCATCCAGGACCAGAAATTTGTCCAGTGAGATTTAGAGAGTGAAGACCACACAATTTTGCTGACTTCTATCTGCCTGTCTCGCCCTTGTTTCTATGTCTATTTAGTAGCCGACTAAGCCGGCTGCGTTATTTCAGTTAAAGACAATCCTCTCTGCTAGGACATGATTTAAACGCAATAAAGCTTGGCTTGCTAATTTGATCCTTCGCTGCAATGTAATAGAAACTTGGGCCTAAGTCAAAAATGTGCTGCTATATGTCAGACAACGTCTGTCAATCCTGCTTAAGATAGAGATCTTAAGGTACCCTTCATTTTCATTTCATTATTACTAAAAACCAGGTAGGGGTCGGCATGAACACATATTCATAAGATTTTGGAATATTCGCATTCGCATTCGCAAATTTCGTGTTGAAGTAGGTCCAAAGGTATAGAGGTATTATTCTCATCACTTGAAATTCAACCCCAATGCAGTCAGTCGTACAGGGCGAAAATGAAAAGTACTGTCGTGTTGATCTTGCGCTGTTTCTTTTTCCCTTTTTTATGCCACTCATCCCGAGCAATACCAACAAGCCACGTTATATTCCACTTCTCAGGAAGAGGGGTCAGAGGGGGGAGGGGAATTGGAAGAACGTATCCCTTTCGGGCTTAGGCCGACCAACCAGCGACATGGGTGGACCAATATGTATTTCATATCACTTCGACCTCAAAGCCATAACACACATCTGGCCATCAAAGTTCGTTCTGGGAGGACATTCGCTTATCATTAACGACACAAGTTCCCCTCTCCAGCCTCGCCCCGGGAGGACAAGATGGACTATCCTTCGATACACACTTTGCGCCATCGAACGAGGTATTTGGTGGGCATTGCGGCGGGTTTGTCGAGACGCAGGCGTGGCCGTTGAAGCTTGTCCCCGTGGGACAACCCGGCCGCTGCTGGTTTGCACAGTGCTCTCCGTCAAAGTTGTACCGGGCGGTCAGAGGTGGGTTTGGGAGGAGACGCATTCGGTGCCGTCGAAGATGGAGCCTGGCAGGCAGTTGGACGATTTGCCATATACGCACTTCTTTCCACTCAAACTCATTCCCGGTGTGCGGTCCGGTCTCACGCTGGTGACGTAGTTTGTGCCATCAAAGGAGGTGTTGGGTGGGACAAACATGGCCGTCCAAAAAGATATCCGCCGGACATTCCGGGCAGGAGTTAGCTCCTCTGTTGCTGCCATCGTAGGTGTAGTTTGGTGGGCAGCCTGGCTGGTGGGGGTAACGGCATGTTTGGCTGACGAGGGGGGTTCACTGCGGGGCTTGGTGAACATGCAATGCTGGCCGTTGAAGATGTTGATAGACGGGCGCCAGGGCCGATCGGAGGAGATGCAGTCGCTTCCCTTCATGGCCGTTCCAAAGGGAACAACGGCCCCTTCGTGGACACAAAGTCCCGGCCGTCGAAGCTCGTGTTGGGCGGGCATGACCGACGGTCGTTGCGAATGTAGACGTGACCGTTCAATGCGATGTCCAGGCGACACACAGGCAGGCTGGACGGGACATAGTCTTCGCCGTTGAAGTTCGTGATTTTTGGGAGATTGGCTCCGTCATCGGCGTGGAGCATTTGTCGTCGTCAAAACTGCTCCATGGTGGGCAGAGCTTGCCTGGCTGCGGTTTAAGGACGCAAATAGAACTGTCCCATGATCTAAAACTGCCATGGGCTTGCAATGAATTACCAGAATAGTACCAACTTGGTCTTCCTGAACACATGCTGTCTTTGCCATGTCTTTGAAATAAAGGAGCTTTCATTGGCGCTGATATCGCAAGTGAGAACTTTCAAACATCTTCGGCCAGAACTGAGCTACAGGCCGCATGGATAGGCTTCATCGAGCTTTAGATATCGCTAGGCAAGCTGGTATCTGATTGCTGCTAGTCTGACTCGAAGAGTCGTATTTGTCATGTTCAATCAATGTCACTCCGTGGCTGGGTCTGATTACATGTCATGGATGGGTATTCATCATCATCCAGGTGTCTTGCTCTGGTTTCCTTCTCGCTATCTATGGTGATTCAACATCACGCTCACATTTCGGTTTTTCTGGCTCCTGTTACCTGCAGGTGACCCAATACTAGCCCTTCATTTGGCTCTTGTTGGCTTGTCCTTGCTGTGATAATTCAACATTGTCTCTATAACTTGCAATGGACTTTGTTTGACTTTGCTTAATACTTTCAATCTCTCCGGTTTTTCCGGGATCACTTCGATTTAGCTATAGCTAGTACAAGAGCTATCACTACGTAGTTCACACATTAGACAAAATCAAAGCATCCCTGAAGTCCAACCAATGAAGCTTAAAAAGGCGTCCTCAAAGGCATAAAAATGATTAGTTGTGCGCATATCCATCCATATCAATTTTCATCCTCAAAAATGGAGGGCAGAAATGTCATCATTGCTGACTTTGCGTTACTTAATTAGGACCAGATCTTATGGCTCAGGGACTTGTCCACAAGGTGCCATCGAGCAGGACAGCCTGTTGTATGCTGGCTATGTATGCGTGGGAAGTGGGAATGGTCCGGAATCATCCTGCAGCATTCACAGACCCCTGTCTAGGCTCAAAAATGTTGACGTGGCATTACAGAGTTCAGCTTCGTGCCTCCCTTGCCTTGCGTATCACAATAGATTGCCCAATTCAAGCTAAGGAACAGTATCAGTTTATCGTTGACAGTTGAATATGCGGACAATGTCTCAACCAGGAAAGGTGTTCTGAATACAGTGTGTCTCCCGAAAAGTCGACGAAAACGAGCTTTTTTTTGTTAAAATCATCGGCGCAAAATAAGTCCAAAGTATCTGGACGATGAGTGACTTCAGCTGCATGTGTCGGCGCTCGGCGCCTAGAAGTGATTGGTGAACTTGCATTCAATGTGAGAGGTTCCTGTACCCCATCCCTCCAGATTCCACGACATTGTCGCACTATCGACAGTGGTGGAATGGTAGGAGTAAAACTGTATGTAAACGACCGACTCCCCCAGAAAAGTAAGACTATTCTATCTTTCAATGAAAGCGGCCCGAAGTTGATGCTCTGGTCAGTTGTGAGCTACCATTAGTACAGCACAAGCAAGGGGCATCGCCTGCTCGCCGGACCCCGGAAAGAACGATTTTACTGGGACTATCAAGGATTCCCCTATAAACTATAAGCGTGATTCGATGTCCGAGCCTTCTAGTGTGTCTGCCCTTATTTGGGCGGAGAATATCGCCCTTCTTTCCTTGCTTCATTCTGTGCCTAACTCCACTCCTGTCCAAGCGGTTCCTACCCCTCCTTCAAAAAATCCGCTGCCCGTGTACCCGCAGAGTTGCCTGACTAGTTATCCGCTGTCTTTTGAGAGAGAGAAAGTCCTGGTTGCTACGTTTGCGTTTCTCGCACAAACCGAAGATGATCCGAATCACATACCTGCTGTTTGTGTCGAACAAGATACGAGTTCTGCATCTCTGAATATCATCCTTGCTATCAACAAAACCAAGAAAGCTGATGGCATTGTCATTCTCAATGACTTGAAGCGTGGATTTGAGAATATATTTACAATTCTTAGAATGTCAGAGAGTACGTGTCCCGAAGAGGTGCATAACTACCTAGCTAAGCCAGAAAAGACAGGGAGGAACCCTCGAATATTGAAAAGAATGTCTTTGCTGCTATTGTATCAATGTGTTCCACCTGCATACTTCAGAGACTTCGATTGTTACCTAGCAAACGAAAGCCCAAGAAGAAGTCATTCAAAGCCATTTTGCAGGAAGTGATAGAACTTGTCAGAGGGATCGATTCTAGGAGACTCACAGAAATGAACTTGTCATCAGTCGCAAAACTCTTTGTAACAAGGTCGAGAGATATGGTGCGCCTGACTGATTCGTGGTCTCGACATTGTACGGCGACGCGGTTGATGGATTTGGTGGAGGGAATTAACCGGTTGCGACAAATCGAACGCGTCAACCCCTTGCTCGGCTTGATTCCTAACCGGATGCTTGATCCATCGGCAAAATCCACTATGATGAATATAATCGGCAAGGTGTCGAGATACCGGGAGCAGCTAGGCTGCTCTGTCGTACGTTGAGAAAGTTGGCCATAGCTCGGAAGATGAGGATAGTCCTCGTTGACCTTCCTCAGGCAGCTTTCCCTGCCCTTCCAGCCCGTGCGTTCTCTCGCGACCTTAGCTGCACATTATCGCGCATTGATCGGGCTTACGGCAAGCCGGAAAGACTTCGGCGGATATTCACTCTTCTGAAAACGACCGAGCAAGAAGCCACTGCCTGATTTATGGCGCAGCGGCAGAGGATCCTAGAAGAAGGCAAGATCCACGCTGAGGTCCAGCTGATCGCTTATTGTGAGCTGCAGATGCCAACACTGCCGCCATGAGTGATATGCTCCAGCAAAAAAGCCTGTTTGCTATGCAATCTCTTCATCCTGACGTACGGCAAGATCTATACACCTGGATCTCATGGGAGACTATATCCAGGCTGGCAACTCCCTGTTCTCCTGCCTTTGAACACAGCGAAAAAGAGTTTTAATAAGGCGCTTGAGGCCCACATAAGGCAGAGCCTGTCTACACTTTTCTCAAGACAGCAACAGACTACCTACCCATGTCCTAATGAGAGCACGTTACTTATGTTGCCAGTATCCGTGAGCACAAATTTGGCCACCTCATAATGCTAATTAGATGGGGCTGAAGTGCAGCCACCGTCCCATGGATCAGAAGAAGGGATTCGCCTGCTCCCGCTGACAAGTGAAGCATCCATGACATCAGAGAAGCAGACAATCGAATTGAAAACATCTGTACTTACAGCACATAAGACTACTGTTGCCGAGACAGATTCCCACCTGACACTTACTGGGTCCGAAAGAGCAAGATCTGAAACTATGAGCATCAAGGATTGTGACACGCGCAATCTGTCTCAAGGCCTCCCTTTCTATGGCACTGTCTCTTCTAATAGAGTATCCCCTTTCTACGTTGCGGGCTGTCTAGAAGTGCAGGTCAAGGTTGCTACTGGACTACAAAGCCTAGCTTACAGTATTGAGTGGCTGACGGATGATGAAGCCAGGGTAGTAAGGTAAGGGCAGCATTCTATCCCTCTGATTGATGCACAGGCATTGACGACTGAAATCTCCCTCCATGATCACAACTGCTTTCTCATTACGGCTAAAGGGGCAATAGCAAGGGTCAAGCTATCCTGTCACAGTTTTTAGTTTTACTATCACTGGCGTCATCTGAAGTTCTTTGATCAATGGGCATGGGACACCCATGGGAGCGAATATGAAGAATGAAAAAAATGCTAAGAAGTCATGCCTACACGGAGTGGGATTTTCATCCCAAGTAATGGGCTCATCAAAAAGATGTCTTTTAAGTGTCCGTAGCAAGAGACCACGCATAATGTTACAAGGAGGAAGGTGCAAATGAGATCCGAGCTGGATTCCATGGGTGTCCACTTAGCTACTGCTACAACAACAGAAGAAATCGGGAAAAAAAGGGGTACGTTCTGAACCTAGGATGGGAAATCTGGTATATACCACATGGAGGGTGGTGGTAACGCGGGGAGACGAAGCTGAGAATGCAGGCCGATATTCTACCTTTTATGAACACTGCATGTCATATGCTATTTGTTTAGGGAAGAATTTACTATACTTTATTTAGAAGCGTCTATATTCCAATCTTAAGGAAAGGAATGGCCTTACATAGATTACACAGTTTTGTTGAATGCCGGCAAGTGTATACAGAAGGCCGATAAGACAGCTCTACCACCATGATATCACTTGAATAAGAGACTACTAAATGCCTGAAAGGGATAAATTACCATACTCTTCACTAAATTCGTATTTAGTCTGTCATCAGATTTTGCATTGGGACAGTCAACCTGTCCATCCTTCCAGAAATCACTGGAAGCCAGGGTCTGGCTGTAGGGTAGACACATTCCACACTACATATGCTTGAAGCAAGTGATGCAAGCTGTCTATATCTTCAGTATCTCCATTAAACACATGTAGCAGCTCCACAATGCTGCAGATGTGCTCTTCAGAACAAGTAAAGCATGCCAATGCGATTATTAAACGTTGGAGGGCCGCTGCACTTAAGGATGACCAGCCTGATTTTAGAGCTAATTAGTAGAGGCGAGCATGACTTAGGAATATTTTGTTGCAAACTTCATCCGGGTGTATGTTGGATAGAGTATCATCGCAGGAAACACTGAGTTCGATGTCTCCCCATGAGAATAGCGGAAATTGTTGTTCCGAACTAGGAGGGTAATTCTGTGCCATGAAACTGCCTGAATATGGCCACATGACTATTCCTGATGATGACGTCTTCGCATAGCCAGCGACCGTTGCTAAGAATGGTTCAGGCATAAAAAAATCGCCTGTGTATACAAACTCATAGCAGAGCTTAAACATGAGCTCATCCATCCAACCCAGAAGCACAAAAGTATTCTTCTCTTTATTTTTAGACACCTTAATGGATTTCTTGATAGCTAGTGGAGATGCCTGAAGCGCTCCTGAATGAACAAAAAATAGTAAATCACCATCATCTATATAAATGGTCACCATGTCCGTATGCATAATGCTAGAAATAGGTCCTTTAGCATCTATTATTTTGATAAAGAGGCATAAGACTTACCTTTCCTAGGTTGCCCCCATTCCGCAGCGCGAAGAAGAAATTATTATTATGGTCTGGGCCTATGATCTAGGGAGATTGAATCGTCTTTTTAAAGGTTTAATACCATACTCACTACTATGAGGTGGTGTCCTGATGCTGAGTGACCCCGCGTAAATTCCAGCGTGGGTTGGGATCTGAGCACTATTAGACCTGAACTTAGAATGACTGCTTATCTCCAGAACACCTCTTCGAAAGGACCCCTGACAGCAAATTAATATTTGTTGGAATTGGCTAGATGTAATATCCTAGTTTCACAAGCCACGGTTGAGCCCCACTATTTTCCTTCTGGTAGATCAAGCCAAAGTGTGCTCCGGGGTCTTGAAGAGTCTCTTGGAGCGGAGGGATTGAAAGGTTTGGAAGGCACTTGCGTGATACTCAGTAGTTGCTATATTGACTCCTATAGCCTGTTACTTAATCACTAATGAACTAACCAACACAGGCTTGGCTTTAGTAGTAAAATTCGCCCCAAAGCAGCTGCTCATAAATGGCAGGTCCAGTCTATCCTTCAATGACCACGCAGCAATCCTAGCACATTGATGTGCTGTGCAGTCCTGCTGATGATTCCTTGATAAGTCGAGATGAAAATCTAGCCACTGATTTTCTCTAGATCGCCAGGTCCCACTTTGCCAGTAGATGGATTGCTAGCCTTGTGCGAAACCACATGGAAGCCAGCCTTTATTTCCATCTCATGTTCTCTCTTCACCCTCTCTAGCTTTCCGAACTTGTATATTATGGTCAAGCTTAATAAGACTGCTGTAGATACCCCGGTGACAACAACGGTTAAAACAGCCATTATTGACCATTCCCTATTTTGCGCCGTATACACATTGATGAAAGTGGTGAGTAACCTAGCTATTACATTTAAGAGGACTGGTCTATCAAATGATTAGCATTTAAATTAATAAGAGATACTAAGACTGACATAAACAACCGGTTTATAAGCCATATGTAATTCTCCTTTCACTCCTAGGTAAGCTAAGAAATCATTACTGAGCCCAGAACCATCAAAAAGCAAGCAATAGCAAGGAGGGGTGGATTCTGAATCATGCTGAGGATGGCTTTTCTGGTGCGGTTCATTTCCAGACCTTCCATGAGAAAGTCGGACTTCTGAAGAGAAGTAAATGTTCCCAGAATAACTAGATATCTAGCAAGTAGTGCCCAGTGCGCAGCACTAGCTAAGGTGTTATAGAACCATAGAATATAGTTAAGCTTGAGAAGCATGCGCACATAATGAGTCTTAATAACTGAAGCACTTTCAGCCTCGGGCAGGTTTCTTTCAAAATTATTAAATGGCTGTGTTTAACCTATACTGGCCTGTAATGAGCAATAGCGATAGAACCTGTACACAATTTCTGATCTTCTTATATGTTGCTGGATAGGTAGATAGTCATGACTCCAAAATAGGCGTGCAGCCTTCTTTATTGTGCGTGTTTCACCCAAGGTGACCTGTAATATTCTGCTATGGGTATGATATCATAATCTAGAGATTGCTTCTACCGGAAATTATTTAATTTCCTCTCCTTGCAAAAGACCTATATACTCTATTGACTCAGTTGATCATGCTTCTCAGAGTATACATAGCATGATCAAGGGTGTATTAAACAGACTCTAAAGAATCTATGACTGAGAAATAATGCATGGTCCCCCTCAAATATTCCTATGCCTTCATCCTGCCGTGGGGCCAGTATCATCCTTCCTAGGACTCGTCATTGAGCGATCCCACAGAGGACACTTACTGGACGCAGACACCACGGTCCCAGGCTAATGCGTAGGAAAGGATGCTAATCTTGATAAGTTGGCTGCCAGTGATCTATTTGAAGTGCCACTCACCTTTAGAAGGTCCGCTGCGGTTGCTCTCCCAGAGCACCCGGTGAAGTCCTCTGCAAGCAGTCCCATTATCCCATGAATTACAGATGTCTCATCTAGTCTTAATAGCGAGCAAGCTATCAAGCAAACAGCCTAAAGGTCCTTGCTCTTCTGCTGTCTCCTTAATTCCCTAATCAGGCTGCTTCTGACGTCGGCTATGAAGCCTGTCAATAACAGGTCATTTTCAATGCATATGTTTCGGATTGTACTGACCCAGTTTGACTACTCCGTCTTGGTTGATTAAGACTATGGAAAGTGTGATATTCCCATGGCAGATGCCAAGCACTTCATGCACGTACTTCAAAGCTTACAGGATCTAGGGATGTCAGCGTAGTTCCTCTCTGAAAGGACTGTCTGAAGTTTATATACCCCTTTTAAGATAGTTGCAATCTCCACCTCGCCCAAGCAAAATTTTGATGATGATTGTTAAATCTCCTCTAGCGAGATACCCCAGGTATCATAAAGGAAAAAGACGTTCTGTTTCGCAATGAATACCTCTTTCAAGTTGACCAGATTCAGATGAGATGTTTCTTTGAAGTCTCCAGCCTGTAGGTCCCTTTCTTCGATCCGTTCTTGGTACACGTAGGCCAAGTTGGAGCCTTCAGAAAACTTAATAGCACTGACAGGTCCCCAAGTCGGTGACAGGCCGACGAAGAAGCGGTTTAGCTGGTCGTAAGGGGACCCAGACTTCACGAAATCTGACTGAATGTCTAGAGTTTGGGGTAGTGTCATATGCCGCGGGACTCCTCGAACTGGCAATTCGATTGGAGATCCTAACTTAGGAGTCACTACCATTTTTCGCAGTATCACTGAGTTTCACGGAATTCACAAGAAATTGAAGGTTGTTCTTGACAGCATGATTAGACCCCGTACATCGCGCCTGTTTTTATCTAATGCTGGACGTGCCGCGCCGCTTTTGAGTCGTGTGGGGAGCCAAAAATGGCGTGGCACCCCGGGTCAAAGACCGCCCAAGTACCCATCGACCCTCTGATTCTGTTGATCACTACCAGTCTTGGAACATCCGAAGGCTCTTTATTCCCTGCCAAAGATCCGTGAACGTGATTCGCAGGATGTTTTTTAAATTGCCCCTTCGATGCCCAACACGGGAAATACATTTCAGCTCTAATGAAGAGAATCTCATGAACTACATGCTGTACTCGCCGGGAGTATCCGCTACTTTTAAGGTCCTCTCCCGCTTTCATCATTTTATTTTGAGCATATTCCTGCGGTTATATATATATGTGCAGCTACACATTGCAAGCATTCAGTACTGGAACTATCGCAATGAGCATCCCCCTCAACTACAAAACCGTTATCGATGGCGAATTCCGACGCTTGAAAAATATCGCGGAGATTAGGCTAAGCGATGATATCATGGCCTTTCTAAACAATGCGCATTCCTCAATGGAGTCAAAGGGCGCTTCAAATCCCCGAGGCCCCTACAAGAGGTCTCTCATTCACTACGCGGCCATGGGAGATTGCCCTGAGCTTCTTCGTCATCTCCTAAGAACTGGTGCTGCCAAAGACGATCGCGACCAAAACAAGCGTACCCCTCTCTCTTGGGCTGCAGAATATGGTGCCTTAGATTCTGTGAAGATTCTTTTGGAACACGGAGCGAAAATCAACTCCACGGATGATATGTATTCCACCCCCTTGTCGTGGTTAATTCATGCGGGTCCACATACGGATCAAGCAAAAGCGACTGAAGTCTACCTGAGGAAGAACGGCGCCGTTGGATCTTGAGGAAGATTGGAATGTCCTGATGGACTTTGTATGTAGATTCTGAGGCCGTGATCTATTGTGAGACTATTCTTACTCCATGCCAATAAACACGATGGATTGTGATTACACGAGTTGGTTTTCCTGATTCTCAATGTTCATTTTGATGCCAGGACTCGAGGAACTGCAATTTCTTTTTGACTCTCTTAGGGAACCTTAAGGGGAGTCATAGATCCTTTTCGATCCTTTTCCAAATTTGAGGGCATCAGCGCCAGTGTCGAGAACACGTAACACGTCCGGAGTTAATGGAGAAATTTTCTACCTATATTAGATTGTCTATCCGGCTTCAGACCTCAATCACAAAAACGGAATCCCAAAGCTGAATTCACTCGATAAGACTCTCAAGCATTCCAGCAGAGCCCTTTATGTAAGAATGAGCGGAATACGGCAAAGCCGTCGCGCTGTGGTGTATTACCAAAAGTGTTTCTCTGGTCCCAGAGGATTTTGCTTGATAAGGGTTGCCTGATATTGAACCGTTAAATACACTGCAGTTAGGTCTATTTTAGTGAAAAACCTGGAATTGGCACTGCTTAGAATCTATGAATTTGTCTGAAATGACAACCAGACCCGACAAGACTGTCTGAACTCTGAGGAACCCTTATAGGTCGATGATGCTCGACCATATGGTTTAAGTCAGTTTCTTCTTTTAGTTGAGTGTGGTCGCTCTCCATCATCAGTGTCACCAGGAGCGAATTCGAACCGTCGTTTCCCTGTATGAACGTCATATTTGGATATATAATCCTCCAAAGCAGCCTTGCTAATCCCCCCTGCCTTGGTCTCCAGCTCCCCTGGTTTTGATTTTGCTCTAATAAAGAGCAGTCATGTCTGCTGAACCTCAGTGACTAGATCTGCCATATTTGGAGAGATGACTTTTTCTTCATCGACAATGAGGAAATAATGGGCACGGGCGAGGTCGTTTAGGACGAGTCGCATTTCCATTTCTGCGTCAGTAAAAAACTTGTAGTACTCCCTTGAGTTGAACAGGTAGAAGACATTTGTGACATCTGACTGATACCACAATGGTAGTATCTCATGAATGGCGCTTTGATGGAGTGATATTAGGACTTTCCAAGATACTAGGGCTTTGCTATGCTCATCTTCAAAACCTGCAGCTAAAGGTACAGACTGCTGTACACTGTCCATAATCTGAGTAGAGGGCCCTGGATCTGGGTGCAGTTCAAGTTCTATTAGGCTTGTCGCTATTGAATCACCTTTTTCAACGGAGTCAGTATGAAGATCTGTATTATCTGCCAATGCTTGCGGTTCTTCTGGTAACAAGGCCCCAGGCGTAATAGCTCCTTCCGGAGCTTCCTCAGCAAATATGAGTTTATTAGAGGCTCCGGAGGCGTTGTGATCCAAGAGAGATCTAAGATGTTGTCGGCCGAAAAAATAGCAGAAGATGTCTCTTATGATGGCAAATGAGCTCGGATAAAGGAAAATCTCTCCCTCATCAAAAACCATATGTCAAAGAAAGAAGAACGACCGGTCATTTATGTACTCATCTTTGAGTGGTCATCCAGCTCGGAAACTTGACTTTCAGCTATCTGTTTTCACAGAGAGCTCAGGGATTTTCTGATCTGACTGATGGGATCTAGGCCCGTCGCTGAAGATATGTAGAAACCGTTTTGACATATACAAGGTTTTCCGTGCAAGATCATTGTGAGAAGGACCTGCGAGCGTTTTAAAGGTATAATGAAAAGCCAGCAAAACTGAGTCGACTGCAGTAGAAACATTCCTTAGAATTATAAAACCCAATCTGCTAGCCGACTTAGCAAGCTTAGGCTCTCCCCGTAATTCAAATAAAGGCTGAACGTTCTTTACTTTTCTTGTTCTCCCCGTCCGAGGATTAATGAAGTGTTGAAAGGCTGTCAGCCATAATTATAGCAAGCTAACTAATGCTATGGCTCTTTCTGCTTCATCTGGTGGCACTATACCATTGATAGGGACAGTCTCGTACTCGCTGTTGGTTAATTGGACGTTATAAGCCTGGGTACCTCCGTCCCAACAGTATAGAGCCGCGCTATAAATTAATGTTTTAGGGCCTACAGAAAATAGGTCCCTCATAGCCTTGGAGGGCCCGGAGAAGCATTTCGCGTCATTAAAGAAGAGCGTCAGGGACAGGACCCTGCTAGGAATTTCAAACAGGACCTGCAGTACTCTATCCTGCTTATCCACATCTGAAATATCCGGGAAGAGCATGCCGTCGTTAATTAGACGCATAATATCTGAGCGGTCCTGGGTGGAGTATTTCAGCATCTTCCCTTTAATGAGTTCTACTAACAGCGTATTGGCCTCACCTGCTCTACCGGGCAATAGGAGTGACCAAATACGAATGATCTCCCACAGGTAGTGAACCATTACCTGCATTTCATTCAGCAGGATTCCAGTCAAAGTAACAAATGGAAGAGGCCGGGAAGATGGCTAACCTCATCGCACCAAGGGGACACAACATGCTCTAGCTTGCGAAAAGTAAATGTTCTCCAAAGCCCAGGAAATTGAATCAGAGCCATGAACGATTCCTGTAACTCGGGGGTCTGAGCGACTCTTTGGACATATTGGAAATCCGAATTAGAAGGCAGTCTGCTGCGCTAGAAAGTTAACTTTATTCCAGAAAATTCACGTAGAAGGGTTCCAAAAATCTCTATATTAGATACTCCGTCAACACAGGAGAAACTTTCAGTGATTTCGGTGCGTAAAATGACAGGAAGACCTTCAGAGTAGCAACCAGGACTGGGACTCAAGCTAGCATGAGAGGACATACTGTCAACATATAATTTTACTACTACCCACCTTTGGCCCGGTGGTAGTACGCGCCTAGCCGCCTCCAGGAGATCTCGCCCTCGTAAACACGCAAGGACGACGGCGTCCTCCAGAGAAAGATGTGGTGGATCGATTGCATTAAGCAGTGTGGCAGCATTTATGCCTGATTTCTCCAAACCCTTATTGAGCGTATTCATATCAATGAGGGCGGTGATATGGTGCTCTGGATCGAGCAGAGAGCATTGGCCTCCCATCAAAGCTCTCTTGAACCTTAGCATGTTCTTCTTCCGATATTCTCCAGATAGGTGTCGGAGTTTTATCTTGGCAAAGCCACATAGGTAGTTTGTGAGACTATTGGCCGGGCTTCCTCCTTCTGAGGCATCTGTATTGGACTGCATTACTCATAATCACAGCATGTGACGAGTGGTAAAAGACAAAGAGGGGAGATGGCTGGCTTAAATATCCTCTCCTCACTTTTTTTTAGTCTCGGTGACCATATTTATCTAGTTTCACCTGGTCTCACCCTTCAGATATTATCAAATATATTCATTCCTTTACAGAACGCCATTGCTACATATAATCTAATGATTTTACGGACAAGCGACCCCGTCCAATACCCTGTTCCCCACCCTCTCTATTTACCTCTTTCCTCTTTTACTCCTCGGTCGGCCTAAAATTTTCGACTTCCTTCTATCATCCGTGGAGTGCATGGTGCATAACGTACGGCGTTGTAATAATGAGGTATGAGGCTCCATGTCTCATTATCGGGGTTGGCTTGAAGAAGAAAATCATGCTAGGAAATTTAGATTTAGTGATCACCGCAAGTCTTTTTAATAGAAGGGAGATCTACCTGCAGTAGAAGTTTGCAGGAAGCAGTATGTGCCTCCTCAATGAATCCCTTTGCCTGGTTTGAAACATTTTGTGGATTGTAGAGATGTGTTCTTTTATCTTCCAGGATTGTCGCCAGCTCCTTCAGATGGACCACAAACAGCTCGATACTCTTGATGTCGTCTCTTCTGCCTTTAAGACTTTGGTGTTCCAGCAGACTTCTTCCAATGTTAGCTACCTGTGGTGTGAGCAAAAAATGGAAAAGGAGAAAGGTGGCAGACACACCAATCTTAATGCAACTGTTTTCGGAGAGCAAAATGTGCTTGAGGTCCAGGTTTCCATGACTTACCTGAAGAACCTTATGGATATAGTCTAGTCCTTTCAGAATGCTTCTACAAACTGTTGCAATGTCTGCTTTACTGAATTGG